CTGAGGTGTGGCCCAGGGGTCGTCTGATGTGTGGCCCAGGGGTCGTCTGAGGTGTGGCCCAGGGGTCGTCTGAGGTGTGGCCCAGGGGTCATCTGGGGTGAAGGCCCAGGGGTCGTCTGGGGTGAAGGCCCAGGGGTCGTCTGAGGTGTGGCCCAGTGGTCGTCTGAGGTGTGGCCCAGGGGTCGTCTAGGGTGAAGACCCAGGGGTCGTCTGGGGTGTGGCCCAGGGGTCGTCTGAGGTGTGGCCCAGTGGTCGTCTGGGGTGAAGGCCCAGGGGTCATCTGGGGTGTGGCCCAGGGGTCGTCTGAGGTGTGGCCCAGAGTCGTCTGGGGTTAAGGCCCAGGGGTCGTCTGAGGTGTGGCCCAGGGGTCGTCTGGGGTGAAGGCCCAGGGGTCGTCTGAGGTGTGGCCCAGTGGTCGTCTGGGGTGAAGGCCCAGGGGTCATCTGGGGTGTGGCCCAGGGGTCATCTGAGGTGTGGCCCAGGGGTCGTCTGAGGTGTGGCCCAGGGGTCATCTAGGGTGAAGACCCAGGGGTCGTCTGGGGTGTGGCCCAGGGGTCGTCTGAGGTGTGGCCCAGGGGTCGTCTGATGTGTGGCCCAGGGGTCGTCTGAGGTGTGGCCCAGGGGTCGTCTGAGGTGTGGCCCAGGGGTCATCTGGGGTGAAGGCCCAGGGGTCGTCTGGGGTGAAGGCCCAGGGGTCGTCTGAGGTGTGACCCAGGGGTCGTCTTAGGTGTGGCCCAGGGGTCGTCTAGGGTGAAGACCCAGGGGTCGTCTGGGGTGTGGCCCAGGGGTCGTCTGAGGTGTGGCCCAGTGGTCGTCTGGGGTGAAGGCCCAGGGGTCATCTGGGGTGTGGCCCAGGGGTCGTCTGAGGTGTGGCCCAGGGGTCGTCTGAGGTGTGGCCCAGGGGTCGTCTAGGGTGAAGACCCAGGGGTCATCTGGGGTGTGGCCCAGGGGTCGTCTGAGGTGTGGCCCAGGGGTCGTCTGAGGTGTGGCCCTGGGGTCGTCTGAGGTGTGGCCCAGGGGTCGTCTGAGGTGTGGCCCAGGGGTCGTCTGGGGTGAAGGCCCAGGGGTCGTCTGAGGTGTGGCCCAGTGGCCGTCTGGGGTGAAGGCCCAGGGGTCATCTGGGGTGTGGCCCAGGGGTCATCTGAGGTGTGGCCCAGGGGTCGTCTGAGGTGTGGCCCAGGGGTCATCTAGGGTGAAGACCCAGGGGTCGTCTGGGGTGTGGCCCAGGGGTCGTCTGAGGTGTGACCCAGGGGTCGTCTGATGTGTGGCCCAGGGGTCGTCTGAGGTGTGGCCCAGGGGTCGTCTGAGGTGTGGCCCAGGGGTCATCTGGGGTGAAGGCCCAGGGGTCGTCTGGGGTGAAGGCCCAGGGGTCGTCTGAGGTGTGGCCCAGGGGTCGTCTGAGGTGTGGCCCAGTGGTCGTCTGAGGTGTGGCCCAGGGGTCGTCTAGGGTGAAGACCCAGGGGTCGTCTGGGGTGTGGCCCAGGGGTCGTCTGAGGTGTGGCCCAGGGGTCGTCTGGGGTGAAGGCCCAGGGGTCGTCTGGGGTGAAGGCCCAGGGGTCGTCTGAGGTGTGGCCCAGGGGTCGTCTGAGGTGTGGCCCAGTGGTCGTCTGGGGTGAAGGCCCAGGGGTCGTCTGGGGTGAAGGCCCAGGGGTCGTCTGAGGTGTGGCCCAGGGGTCGTCTGAGGTGTGGCCCAGTGGTCGTCTGGGGTGAAGGCCCAGGGGTCGTCTGAGGTGTGGCCCAGGGGTCGTCTGAGGTTTGGCCCAGGGGTCGTCTAGGGTGAAGACCCAGGGGTCATCTGGGGTGTGGCCCAGGGGTCGTCTGAGGTGTGGCCCAGGGGTCGTATAAGGTGTGGCCCTGGGGTCGTCTGAGGTGTGGCCCAGGGGTCGTCTGAGGTGTGGCCCAGGGGTCGTCTGGGGTGAAGGCCCAGGGGTCGTCTGAGGTGTGGCCCTGGGGTCGTCTGAAGTGTGGCCCAGGGGTCGTCTGGGGTGAAGGCCCAGGGGTCGTCTGAGGTGTGGCCTAGGGGTCGTCTGAGGTGTGGCCCTGGGGTTGTCTGGGGTGAAGGCCCAGGGGCCATCTGAGGTGTGGCCCAGGGGTCGTCTGGGGTGAAGGCCCAGGGGTCGTCTGGGGTGAAGGCCCAGGGGTCGTCTGAGGTGTGGCCCAGGGGTCGTCTGGGGTGAAGGCCCAGGGGTCGTCTGAGGTGTGGCCCAGGGGTCGTCTGGGGTGTGGCCCAGGGGTCATCTGGGGTGTGGCCCAGGGGTCGTCTGGGGTGTGGCCCTGGGGTCGTCTGGGGTGAAGGCCCAGGGGTCAACTGAGATGTGGCCCAGGGGTCGTCTGAGGTGTGGCCCAGGGGTCGTCTGGGGTGTGGCCCAGAGGTCATCTGAGGTGTGGCCCAGGGGTCGTCTGGGGTGTGGCCCAGGGGTCGTCTGGGGTGAAGGCCCAGGGGTCGTCTGAGGTGTGGCGCAGGGGTCGTCTGGGGTGTGGCCCAGGGGTCGTCTGTGGCCCCTTATTATAATTCCAGTATAGTGAAATTCTATCTGTAGATCAAAACTTTTTTACATTTTGTAATCAGAGTTTTCCTAATATATCAGTTTCAGGCTAATTTCTGATCAGACTTAAAAATTCTTTCAGGGCTCTGTCACTTTAAGAAAACAAGCTGAAGCTGGCCACGCCCACCTATCCCTGCCTAGGTTGCTGAGCTGAGAAAATGATAAATGGCCTGTGTTTCATACAGCATCCTGTAAGGTTTTACAACCCCCCAAGGTGCATTACAACACAGTCGTTCGCCCATACTCACGCACATTACACACTTGCTCCGAGATCTGGGTGGGACATGCAGTAGAGCCGCTGCTCTTTTCCAGGTGAGAGGTGGTTTTATGCAAAAAATGTAAGTCACTTTTCTGAGAAATTTATCTTGTACGTAAATACAAGTGTTTTCCGTTTTATAGTGCAACATTTGCTCTTTTCTTCAAATATTTCCTAATTTTCCTAACATTTTCCCAAATTTTGCAACAAACCCCTCTAAGTTTAAAAAAACACACAAAGAACGGCCTTTCCTGTCCATTTTGCTTCAGGCCCTTGTCTATTGAAACACCAGGCATTGCAGAGGGGTTGAATTAGGATCACCGAGGTATTCTTAGTACTTTCAGACACATCAGTCAGCATGGCTGGATCATAATGGCTTTGCTGCATCATGCTTTGTATCTATGTGAAGTTTTTGTTTTGTTTCTCCACTTGTCCATTCAGGCATTTTTGCATTTTTTATTGTTTTCCATTTTTTTCAAGAAATCTAAGATTTAAAGGAAAATAGTCAAGAATTTATATATATATATATATATATATATATATATATATATATATATATATATATACATATGTCTTTTTTCAATGGCCAACATCTATTTCCAGTCCTCACTAACATTAGATTCTGGTCAGTTTGGGGTTTACTTCCCTTCTAAGCATTCTGCTGCCCCCTAGTGGCAATATATAGCTAAGAAACGCATTCAAATCCATCGAACGAGACACTTGAGACAATAAAAGGGCAATATAACATGTAATTTGAACAATTTGCCTTTATTCAATGTTAATTTACATAATCCTTTTATATTTAGCAAACATTCTGCCAGCAGGTGACGTTTACAATAAGTTAATCTCCTACTCTTTTCTTTAGAAGCTCAATAATTTACAGTCAAGCAAAATTTAAATAAAAAAAAAACTTTGTGAAAAACTTTATTCTCTGCCACTTAGTGCTGTTATTTCAGTCAAACGACAAGCTCCTATGTATATGAAGGAAACACACACATACACACACACACACACAAGATGTGTGTATTTGAAACAGCAACACACAAACAAAGCCGTGGAAACTGGTGATTAGCTTTGCAGAATCGGTTTCTGACTCTCTAATTTGTGCACTACCTCATTGTTCCTCTCTACCTCTACTTCACCACATTTACATCCCAGAACAATAACTTTGGTTCAGATCATGCCGTCATGTCTGCGTTATCTGTGGTGCAAATGACAGATTTACGCCTAGATGCAATAAAATATTTCAGCTCTTTTATTTCATGTCTGTATATGTTAAGTAAATGAGTAACACTGAGGATGTGAAATGAGACAAAAGCTTTGACAGAAAAGACAAAATTATCTATATAAGCTTTATAGATGAATGCATTACAGCCTACGAGTGCAAGCTCTGAATATTTATAATGGCGTAACGAGTGCCGGCTTCACCAGACACTGGTTAAGCGATAAATCTTGCAAAACTGTGTGTAACAAAAGGTAAGAAACGTAATTACATTGCATATTTGTGGCTATAGAAACATCTTCCTTTTCCAAGAAAATGAAATACTTAACAAAATCTCTGAGATGTCTGACTTTTGCTCCCTAGCTGAGTAAATATTTCACAAATACATTCCAAATTACAACCACAGAGTCCAATCAGTTGTTGTTGTTGTTTAACTTAGAGACACGGGGCTGGATGGTGACCCTCCTGACAGGAGTCGGATCCGCGTTCCGATTGGCTACCAGCTCCTGCAGCTGCAGCGCCCCCCCACCGATGAAGCAGAACGCAGGGCAGACGGGCCCGGAGCAATCGACGTGGCCCTCCCAGAGCGGCCGCAGGGAGTGGGCGTCATAGAAGGTGACACGCCCCTTCTCAAAGTCAAGGCACACGCCCAGCCGAGGTGGCAGGGGGTAGGTGAGGCCTGCAGGGGTAGGGGGGGTATTACCGTTGGTGATGGGGTCTCGGTTCCCGTTCCCGTGGTGATGGTGGTGGCTGTGCTGTGGCAAGTAGATTTTCCCCATCCCCATGGTGAGGAAGCAAAAGGGCGGCGCTGAGTCCAGCGCATCCTCCGCCCCGCTGTCATGGCCGCTGTCTGGGTCGTAGCTGTGAACCAGATCAAAGCACAAGTTCAAGGTCATCAAAAGTCAGCAGCCAAAACCAAAAATACCCATTAAAGCTGGCCTACTCACCGAGGACTGGCCATGTCCTGTGGGAGGTGAAACCACTCCTGAAGTTTGGACTCCAAACCAACCCCCACCTGTTCAACAAAAACAAACAGTACTGAGCTGAACTGAACCGTCTTATGAGAGCAAATCAGTCAGGGTGTCGGTCCTCCATAATTCAGGGTGTTTTTAAGTTTACAAGAAGATGAATGAAGGTTTAACATGACCAGATTAAAAATAACCAAACAAAGAGAAAACATCTGCGTTTCAATGGCCCCCATAGCTAGCATGCTAATCTATTAAATAAACACAGATTAAAGTGGCTCACACTAGTTTCTATATGCTTGAAGTGGTCTCTAGTGTTCATGAAGGCCTTGTAATTCGTTGCCTGTGGAAAAAAGTTCTGGCGGAGGTAGAAGTTAGCAAGCGGAGAGGGGGACAGAGAAAGGCTGGATTACTCATTAGTATTCACGATGTTCTAAAATCTCACCTCTGATTAGTTAACATGACTTCACCACCGACTCTGTTTGCGTTGCAACGTTGATGTTTTATTTCCACAAATAACACAAGAATGAAGGTGCCTTACTGTGGAGTTGCAAATGCTAATGGTTAGCTTCTATTAGCCAAGATGAGCTCTGCTCTCTCCTGGAGTCAAAAACAGCTTCCATCTTTGGAGATGGATGAGTCCAATAATCTTAATTTTAGATGTAGATGTAGATCTCAGTGGCTTTTTCTGACGCTAGCGTTCCCCCGGCTTTTTCCTTTTGGCGGCTAATGGTGAGTTCCAGTTGTCCTCGGAACTCGTTTTCTCGAGATAAGTTAGCCGGAAATGACGGAATGAACTCGAAATTCCGAGCTGCGAGCTCATCGCTTTCAGAAGACCCCGAGATCCCAAGTGTAAAGATGACTGCGCCCGGTGCCAACAGGAAGTAGTTATCCTCTTTATTTTTTCTCCTTTATATGTTCAGTTTTCTTTCGTTTTGCTATTTAACAGCATCGGAAAGTTGTTTATTGTTGTTTACAATAGTTACGTTGTTGAAAATTTTAACATTGCCACCAAAATGGACCGGTGTGTATGGTTTTTACTTTTCCTGGCATTTATATTTTAACATTTGCTGTATGTGGCAACTGTCAAAGGGTGTGTGTGTCACTATTATTTAGATGCGGAGAATACTTAAGTTATATAATTCTTTTGGTTTAGTACTCAACAACACTGGTGGCATCCACTTATTTATTTTTTTCGAGTTGGAAGCTGGAACGCAAAACGACCCCGTTACGTAATTTCCTGCTCGGAAATTCCGAGTTCCGAGGACAACTGGAACGCACCATAATGCAAGAAGTTGGGTTAAAGGACATTTTCACTTTCTCTGTGTTTGTAAAACTCAGATTGACCAGTTGTATTTTAAAAAGAACAAGGATTATATACTTCTCAGTAAACCTCACCTCTAGGTGGTGATTCTGATGCTCCTTCCATTGTTTTTTTTCTTTGAGTAGTCAAGTTACTTTACTAACATGAACAACCTCCTAATTTCTTTACAGGCTTTAGACGATGAGCAAAAGCAAGACTAAATATTTGTTCTTGCAGAACTGACTTGCAGAAAAAGAGCCGATCAAAATACTTATATGCTTATATGTATTATGGATTTTCTCACGTTGAGCCTTCACAGTGAATATGAAGTGCACATCGAATTCACTTGCCTTGACAAGGTAAGATCCAGGTTCTACTGAGCACGCCCAGTAGTGTCTTCCCTGGGTAATGGCTACGTCCCCTACCAGAAGGTCAGAGGTCAGGTGGCAGGAAGTGAGGGCGTGGTCGGCGGCCTGCAGCAGAGAGAGACCAGGGACGCTTCGAGCACCACGCTGCTCTTTGTTGACCACCAGCCGGTCGGCATGGAGACCCCAACGGGAGTCCAGGTAGAAGTTAAGCACTGAGAGGACGAAAGGAGGAGGAATACACCAGGAGATCAGAGGAGAAAAGGGGTGGGGCATGCTGAAGAAAACAGAAGGTTGTAGAATTGTCAGGGAGCGTTTGGGAGGCAACGGAAGGAGAGTTATACAGATTTACTGCCACAATGAGCAAGAATAAAAATACTAAGGCATGCACCTCCTCCTGTCAGCACTGCAAGAGAAGAAGATCCTCATATTGACGATTCAGGGATTCAGTTAGCACCACAAAGCGATGTTGGAATCGCAGTTTTTCCAAGAAGCACAGAGGGAGGGTAGCAGAAAAGTAGAACAGCCAACAGGGGCACAAGGAACTCAACATTCTCACAAATCGACCCTTAAAAATCCCTGGATCAAATTCCGATCCATTGTGTTAAGCCCCAGGTCTTAACAAACCGCAAACCTCAGCAGCGCTCGGAACGATCTCGGTACGGGAGGAAGAGAGGGATGAGTTGGAGGGTTTAGAAACAAAAGGATGACATGGGGTGCAGAGGGACTTCTTACGTTCCGCAGGAGGTGTGTGGGCTGGCAGCGTGGAGCGGCTGAAGATGACAAAGCTGTGAGATGGAAAGAAATGAGGAAATAAGGAGCGAGAAAGTGAGGATGTGCTGAAAGTGGGAAGACAGGTGGATGTTAAGTGGAAATGAGAAGATGGGAGAAAAAGAGTGAATTTGTCTGCATTTGAACACACAAGTGTTTACAACTAGCACAGTTAGAGTTAAAATAAGCAGGCAAGATTCTGAATGACAGAAACTGCTCTTCATCGTGGATTTAATTAGATCATCTTGTCTGGCAGAAGAAGTCCTACATAATTAGTTGCACAAATTAAAACATTAACACATGTAGCTATTTATTTATTATAAATGTGACCATTTTGGTTAATTGTGTGTGCCTACATGCAATCCGAATTATTTACTGATCATTTTCACCAGCTAGCCCTCAAAAAACTGTGAATTTCCTCCAACAGATTCACTAACATCACTCCTGGGGCACTGGAACAACCGCCCCTGAAACGCATCTAACCAGATAATCATGTCTGATTGCAAGGGAGAATTTTTGGCCAATCATCCTCACTGAATTTAACAACTCAGGGGCACTGGCAGTAGTGCCCCTGCTACAGGAAACATACCTGCGTCTATTGCAGTAACATGTTCATTTGTTCTGATTTTGTGTGATTATAACGTTCAAAACAAGACTTCTCATTCAATTTCCATGGCATGTTGGTGCCACCTACTGGGAAAAACGAGTATTGCACTTTTAGGTGTACAGGAAGTTGGTGAATACAGAGACTGCTGAGAAAAAACCTCAGGACAAAATAAAAATGTGGATGAATAAAATTCAGTGATCTGTTTACGTGCACCCTCGAGATTTTACATCCTTTTAGTGTGTTTCAGACGTTTGTAATTGCACAAAAATGCAAATATGAACACATTTTTGTAGGTCAGATTGTCACATGATGTGTGTTTTAACTGATAAATTATGAGGAAGCATACTCTCACCTGGTGCAGGTGGGGTGTGCAGATACACCTCCTCGCTGTACTCCCCAAAGCCCGCTTTGTTGCAGCCTCTCACCCGTAGGACGTACACGCTGTCCATCTCCAGCCTGTCAATCACAGCGCTGGTTCCACTCACTTCATCCAGGCGCTGCCATCCCCAGCGGGCGGATGCAAGTCCTCCTCTGATCCCTCCTCTGGATGCTCCCCCCGGAACCACACCGCGGCGCCTATATTCCACCGAGAAGTGCCAGGCGGGTGCGGACTCCTGGGGCAGCCGCCAGCACAAGAAGAGCTGGTCGTACGCCAGAGAGCGCTGGGTGTCGATCACCGGAGCCAGAGGAGCTACAGCGAGAACATGCTCAGTGTAGGACTTGCATTATATAAAGGAATCTCCTTTTCTACGTTCTCTTCCATTTTCTCACCCTGGATGAAGTTCAGCTCTGTCAGGAGTTTGAGCTCTTTGGAGACGTCCAGCTGGAAGTGTCTGAAGGATGGATCAGCAGCTAAGGTGAAATGCTGGAGATTCTCTATTGCTTTGCTCAGCCTGGAGAAGTTACAAAAAAAGACAAAGGAGAAAGCAGAGAAGGATAAAGTATAAGTTTTAATTCTCACATGCCAGTGAAAGTATGACTTATTATGATGCGTTTGCCTGTGTCTGACTGCACGTTCTTTAGCAACAAACATCTCGTGAACCTTTTCTATGAAATAATATGGGTTGAACATGTGCAACTGATTATTTGGAGTTAACCTCATTTAACACGGGCAGAGCAGACTGACATTAGCAAGCAAAAAAGGGTAAAACTCAGGTGGTTGTTTTAAAGTGACCTACAATGAAACAAAACTTGTTATTAAAGCAGGGGTACATTTTAAAGTGATTTAAAATGCTTAAATTTTATTCAATTCAAATTCAATCTGACCATCTGACCAGTGCTTAATTTGTAAATCAAACGTTCCTGGAACGCAAATACTGACGTCAAACCAAAGTTCAATAAAGGCAAAACAGATGCCGGAACACGCATGGGGGAAGGTTGACAAGTAATTAAAATTGCGCCCACATTTTCTAAGTTAACACACATCTCTTCAGTGGCGGACTGGTAATCGGGAGAAACGGGAGATTTCCCGGTGGCCTGGCCGTTAAACTGGCCCGCTCAGTGATTGCCGTTCATGACGTGTGTAACATCTAAATGAGCAATCCGACATGCATCTGCTGTCCTGATGCTCACACAAACGGAGCAAACTGGGCACAAAGACACCCCCTCCTCTCACTTTGTCGGGGTCTGGCAAAGCGCATGTCCTCAAACGTCAGTCATCCACAGTCTGGCACGAGCTCCATGAAGGGCCCCATTTTTGCACAAAAGGTGCATCACTGACGCGAGGCGCGCCACGCCTCACCATCAGCTCAGGCAGAGGAGAGAAATTAAAAATGTTTCCCCACACCGTACACATTCCTGCAATGACTGACAGCAGCATCAGCTGACCGACCAGTGGTTAAACGCTCTGACAGGCAGGCGCATCCACGGAGGAGAAACGGTTTCTAAACGGAACTTTGGATCGTGAGCAAACACGAGACGTAAAAGGAGCGTGCTTCACTTGAAATTTTGTGGCCATAAACATCCAGCTGCTGCTGATCATGAGACAGATGAGATGATAATTCTGGACCGATCTGGATTAGATTTCACATCAGCCCTGATGACATTTATGACATTTCTTGTTAACTGCATAAACCTTCACCTCTATGGGGTGCCATTTGTAAAGTCAAACAGTCATAATCTAACAGCAATATTTTTGGTTATCTAGCATACCATAAGAAAAAAAATTGGGAGTTCACTTTTCGAAGTCATATTTTCATCATGTTATTCATACATTTATAAATGTTAAAGTTTCCAAATAAATGTTTAGTTAGCAAGCTAAATATTTAATTTATAGTTAAATATTTATTTTGCAAACTAAATATTTAGGTCTGATCTAATTATTTAGTTTGTAAAATAAATATTTAATTCACTAACTAAATATTTACTTTACTAATTAAATATGTATTTTGGAACTAAATATTTAATTTGTAAATTCAATATTTATTTTCCCAAAAAAATATTTAGATCCCAGCTAAATATTTATTTTGGAGCTAAACATTTAGTTTGCAAAATCAGTATTTGGGAAATAAATATTTAAGTCTGACCCAAAAATATAAAATATAGTGTGGAGCTAAATAACATAGTGGAAAATAAATATTTAGCTGGTACTTTAGCTAATATGGAAATTCGCTTGCCAATAAGCGGAAGTTGGTTACGAAAATAAAAGCTGGATCTCGCTAACCTCTTTATAAACTCTTGCTCCAAACCAGAACTTGTTTTATCTCCGGTTCTATTCTTCTTCAACCAACACGTCGGACATGTTCAGAAGACTAGAACCGGAGATAAAACAAGTTCTGGTTCGGAGCAAGAGTTTATAAAGAAGTTAGCGAGATCCAGCTTTTATTTTGGTAACCAAATTCCGCTTATTGGCAAGCAAATCTGCATATTAGCTAAATGTTTAAGTACCAGCTAAATATTTATTTTCCACGATGTTATTTAGCTCCACACTATATTTTATATTTTTGGGTCAGACTTAAATATTTATTTATTTATTTATTTATTTTATTTAATACTGATTTTGCAAACTAAATGTTTAGCTCCAAAATAAATATTTAGCTGGGATCTTAATATTTATTTCTGAAAATAAATATTGAATTTACAAATAAATTATTTAATTCCAAAATACATATTTAATTAGTAAAGTAAATATTTAGTTAGTGAATTAAATATTTATTTTACAAACTAAATATTTAGATCAGACCTAAATATTTAGTTTGAAAAAGAAATATTTAACTGTAAATCAAATATTTAGCTTGCTAACTAAATATTTATTTGGAAACTTTAACATTTATAAATGTATGAATAACATGATGAAAATATGACTTCGAAAAAGTGAACTCCCAATTTTTTCTCTTATGATATGCTAAATAACCAAAAATATTGCTGTGAGATTATGACTGTTTGACTTTACAAATGGCACCCCATACACCTCTGGCTTATTTTGTCTTTGGTTCATGACCTTTAAACCCCTAGTATTATTATTGGTGTTTATATGATTATTATGAGGAAAACATCCATATATACTGGTCTGTCAGTATATATGGATGTCAGAGATGTGTGCATCTGCAAAAGGCTTCTTCCATTGTTGAGGCTGTCCATTTAATCTGTGCTTACTACATTGTAAACCTAAATGACACTAATGATGCAGTCATCCCCCGAAAGGGAAGTTATCGTTCATGCACTGGAGCTAAGTGGTTAGCGTAACTCTAACCTAATGCTAAATCGGACTATTGTTTTAGCCTGTTGTAGCGTTAGCAGCGCTGCGATGGACTGGCGATCTGTCCAGAGTGTACCCAGCATGTTTACCCATAGACTGCTGGAGATAGGCACCACAACCCAGCGTGGATGAGCGGGTGCGGATGGATGGATGCATGGATGGATAGATGGATAGCATTAGCAACATTGTGCTAGCATTGAGTGCTGGATTGCTGCCGTTTTTAGATATTTCCCTGCTTTAAAACTGTAGATTTGACTAAAATGAGTGATTAGCAGCTCCAGCAGAGCTCACCGAAAGCTGGGCATATAAATCAGCAGTTATGATCAGGTGTGTCTGAGCAGGAAAAAAAATCTAAAAGATTATTTGTTCATTTGCGCCGTATGAAGCACAGCTTTCAGCTCCTTCCAGAAGGGGCATGAGTTATAGCCATTTCAAAATAGGCTTCTCCTCTCATTGATGACATCACACAATGGGCCTCCGCTATAAAGTATAATATTGAATCTCAGCAAACAGGAAATGACAACAATTTAACTATATTAATTTAAAAAATGATGTGAAAACCTGTTATGAGTTTGCCGCGCCGCCTGTACAAAGCAAGGCTGATCTGCTTCTTTCAGCAGCTCCTGGGTGAACGCTACGAGCCCCGCATGTTCCATCAAGCTCCGCCTCTCAGCCACCTGAGCAGCCAGTGCCTCGCCCCGTTTCTGCCGCGCTCCCTCCAGAGCCTGGGTGAGCGAGGCGTGACGCTCGGCCAAGGTGGCCGTCAGATCCCTGATGCTCTGAGCCAGCTGCTCCCTGGCTGAAACACTGTTGACCTGGAAAAAGAGAAAAAAACAACACAAAGGTTTGAATCAGCCTTGAGACGTCTTTACTTCTGGCCTTTTGGCTCAAAACGTTGCAGCATCACCTCAGTCTGAGTGATGGCACTCTCCAGCTGGGTGATCTGGGTCAGAACCATGTCCTGACTGGACAGAATGTAGTTCATCTCTTTAGTAATCTTCTCCTGTTGAATAAAAATAAATAAATAAAAAGAAAAATAGTCGCACGCTTCCGTAACGTTGCAGTAGCAAGTTTACATCTCGATCTCTACGACGTTTCTCTTGATTTTGAAATTGATGCTCGAGTTTTACCTTCAGAGCTTGGTAGGCCTGAGCCACTGGGAGAATTTTGTGTCCAGTGTGGGTTCGGCGCAGTTTGCAGAGAGGACAGAGGAGCCGCTGGCAGGACCTGCAGTAGAACTGCAGCTTCTCCTGATCGTGCTCCGTACAAGTCAGAACCTGAGGAAGAGAAGGACATTCAATCTGACATCATTCACCAGCTGTTTGACTTGTCATCAGAATGAGGACTCCTTATTTCCATTTATTTTGTCATCTGTGCAAAAACTGCACTTCATTTGCCCTCAGAATCCTAAATAAGGTCACAAGTTTGAATAAAGTTAAACAGATAACTAACTGGAAGAGCTGAGCCTTTTTGTGCTTGTGAAAGTAGAATGAACACATTTCTGTTTAATTTTAAAAGATAATAAATTATAAAACTCTTTTGCATCCTTTTGTGCTGACTTGTAGGCCTCTACTGCCTCCATAAACACGCCAAACGTGGACAAAAAAACATGAATCAACTTCATGTCAGTGCTTGGTTTAAGGAATTATGTGTCTAAAACAAGCTGTTTTTAAAAGTCCCTATTTGTGATGTCACAAATGGGAAAATTAGCATCAAACCAACTCACAATTCTCCAGGAGAAGCAACGGCTCTATTCTGAGCCCCTCCTGGAAATCGGAGCTCCTCAGCTTTTGGCAGCCTGAGCAGGGGAAGGGTGGGTGTGGCCAGCGTCAGCCTGTTTTATTTAGTGACAGAGCCCTAAAATCACTCATTCTGGAAGGTACTGAAAATGTCAAAAATAAAACTGCTGAACCTGCTTTATGTGAGAGGGATTTTATTCATAGAAATGTATATAATGTTTTATAGACCATAGAACTATTACAACTTCTTTAAAAAAAAAAAAGCTGCCTAACTAACAGAACCGTGTCCAGGACTTTTAAAATGGGGTGGCCCTTGTGGGGCATGGGTGCCATGGGTGGCACCAATGGTTATGCTTATTTATTTATTTACACAAATCCTTTATTTATTTATTTATTTACTTTCTAGTGATTTTTTGAGTTTCACATTGCACAATCACCTTTTTTTCCCTCTTCATCTTCTACTTTTGTGGTAGTTAGCAAGTCGCTTCTTGTTGCATTACTGCCACCAACTGGAGTTGAGTGGGACTCTAAATACTATGTATGTGAATATGAAAAAATATTACATACTTGTAATATTACATGCCTGGGCTAGAAAACAAGGTTAAAGGTGCATGCAACCACAATCTTTTGGAGTGTACAACCCAAGCCTTTTGTCGACAATGTAAAGTCAATTTAAACTGGAACTTAGTGGGGTGGCACCTGGGGTGGCTAATCAGATTCTAACGGTGGCATGTGCTACCCCAGGCCACTCCCTGGACACGCCCCTGCTAACTAAAGAGGTCCCTGTGGGCCCCGAATCACTGGTTACAGAACATTTTCCTTTTGTTGCAGCAAATCATTTTATAGTATTATTATTTATCATTTCACACGCAGATACAGGCTAGTCGTTTGCTTCTCATTACCTTTGGCCTGAAGTTAAGTGTCGGCTGGATGTGTTCGTGTTGGGCCCGCGGCGTCCCCCAGGGGTGATAGAGCTTAAAACACTCGTTACAGAAATTCGCCCTGCAGTCAGCACAGCCCTTAGTGGCCTCCAGAGTTTGGGGAGGTTTGCAAAACTGACACGTCACAGCAACGCTGCCCAGGCTCACCGTGTGTCTGTACCTGGTGGACATTATTACAGGGTTAAAAAAACATCGCAAAAAACATGCAATCGTTTAAAATTTTGATTAGAATGAGTTAAAGCATTTGGAAAAGGTGCAACAAGAACGAAATGGAGTACATGAGGAAGTGAGCACAAAGCTGCTAGACTGTGGAAACACTATCATTAGGTGTAGCTTCTGGACGGTGAGCTTGTATTGCACACTGTGCAGGATTTTTCACACTTCAGCAGCTAAATAAGGATGATCAGATCTGGAAATCTTCCCACACCTCCAGGTTTTCACCTCTGAAGTCATCCATTCATTTACATTTGGTCCTTAACATCACATGAAGTGAAAATCAATACAACCGTGGAGGCTTTGTGTGCTAATTTTAGCTTTTTTCTTTCAGGGGGATGTGCGTGCACGTTTGCTTGCTACCTTTCCACAATTCGCTCCAGTGTGAGGTTGCGGAGACAGTCAGCGAGGCCCCTTTCTCCTAATTCAACGTCTCGGCCGCAAGGGATGCAGGGGAACATCATCACCAGGGGTGGGGCATCTTTGCGGCGTCGCCCTGGATACGTCCCATGTCCAGGAGAACGAGGCATGGATGGCGAAGGCGGGTGGGGACCTCAAATTAAAAGCATTTTAAATGAGCAAAAGAAGAACATTGAAATCTAATTTCATTTGAGGGATCAGACTTTCTACCTGATCGCAGCACGCGGTCAATAGGTCGCTGCTCAGATTTGGGGGTGGGCCTGCGCGCCTGACGAGGTGAGCGCATGTTGGGGGTGGAGGCTGGAGAGTTGGGTTCCGGGGGAAGATCTGGAGGTGGGTAGCCATTTGCCACCAGGACCTCAGAGGCGCACATCAGACAGACGCTGTGCTGGCATGGCAGGACCACGGGCTGCTTGACTATTTCCTTACACACGGGACAATGCAGCTCGTGCTCCAGGCTCTTCATGTTGGACTGCTGGAAACAAACACTCAACAAATTACGTTAAAAATCCCAAAGTGCAGTGAAAAAAGGTCATGGCAAAAACGACATTATATGAACAGTCAAATTCCAGTAATGGAATATAACAAAGTACAAGTACTTAGTTACTGTACTCAAAGTAGCAAGCAGCAATCTGGAGTTTTCCCCTTTTCAGGAATTACTTATCATTCTTTAGAAATCTGTAAAAGTGATAGTCTGACCCTGTACTGTGACAAAATGTAAGAAATACCTCATTTTGTTTTTGTTAAGCCCACCCCCATCCCGTAGAGCATCGCCCAGCATTAGCCAATAGCGTTAGACATCCGATAACTACAGACATCAATCACAGAGCGTGCAAGAATTTTCAGAAGCACCTAGACTGATGCCAAGTTTGCAACATTTCTTATACACAAAAAACTATAAAAATTATATGTAAATATGTACATATATATATATATGAATAAACAGCACAACGTGAGAATAATAGTTGTAAAATGACGTGTTTTTGATCTGTTGGCCAGCTGGAGGTGAGGTCACGAATGAGACAAGTGGCTTTCGGCTGTAATCAAGGATGTAATGAGACTGGAATAATATGCTATACATTTTTCCACCTCTAGATGGTGTGCTCTGTCAAAAAACTCAGGATTTCTAGTTTAAGTACATTTTTTCTTATCTGTACAGAAGCACAGATAATTATTTAAAGAGCAAGTCACCTCCAAATCAACTTTTTTTCTGATAAACTATAAAAAATGTGTGTCTAATCATGCTGCAGACACGTGCAGTCAATAGTTTTGCACTTTAGTGCATTTTAGTTAAAATTTTAATTTTCTGTCTAAAACTGTCAGTGTTGTGCTGTTGTCAGGTAAAAACTCGGCACTGCATTTGAATTTAAATCTGCCATCGCTATTGGCTAAGAGGTACCCCAGAATGTTAGCTGGTACCATATGATGTCACAATGTCATTGTGAGCCTCTGTGTGTGTGTGTGTGTGTGTGTGTGTGTGTGTGTGTGTGTGTGTGTGTGTGTGTGTGTGTGTGTGTGTGTGTGTGTGTAATTGTTAGTGGCTCCGCCCTCTCTGTCTGCTAGGCAACAGCATTTGTTGCATTTTTCAAGCAGGAAGTGGGAGTGGAGTAAGACTCTGGTTGGAGGTGACTTGCTCTTTAAGTAATTGTCTTGAGGCCTACTTTTTACTTTTACTCAACTACATTTTAAAGCAGTGATCTGTACTTTCTGCCCTACTGTATTTTCTAAAAATGTTTCAAAAGCAAAAGAACTTACTTTAGTTGAATACTTTCATTTTTTTTTTAACTTTTGAGTCCATCTGAAAATACATACTTTAAAACTTATACTTAAGTCAGAAAATTCTCGGATACTTCAACTATAGCTTAAATATTTTTTACCCTTTTATCTGTACTTTTACTTAAGTTAAAAAAATCAAGAAATTCTTCAACCACTGTCAAACACGGAGGTGGTAGTGTAATGGTCTGGGGTTGCATTGCTGCTCCTTGACCTGGGTGACTTTTCCACCAGTGGGAGTAGATTTGGCCCGAATTCTTTCACATTAAAATAAGACACCAGTTTACACAAATGTCTGGAATATTTACAACCAGTTATTTAGTTTTCACTGCACTGTCAAGGGTAAAGGAGCACAATACTCTAAATGGATATAAGGGGATTTAAAGATTGCTTATAAACTATAAAAAAGTAGAGATGATAATATGAAGACATCCTAGACAGATGTCACTGGCCACCATTCTTGTAAATGTTTAATAAAGAGCCAACATTAATTATTCAGCTTCGATATTTCTTACACAACTGCTTCAGATGTTTTCAGACTCTACTTGGGAAACGTCTCAGATCTGCATGCAGATACAGTGAAGATGAAATAATGCAACACTGTAAATAATTAAAACGCACATAAAGGTGCTTGTATCCCTCCATCTTCCCCCCACAACCAATAAAAATCAAACCAGAGTGGTCAGAGCTGCAGAACGACGGCAGCTTTGGCTCGCACGCCTCCATTCGAGGACACAGATTAGACCAAAAGTGGACATAGGCTGTTGCAAAAACCTGTGACTTCACACCTGCATTCACACTGCACTTCTCAGAGATTCAAAACAAATCCCATCAGTTTTTTATTGCCTAATTCCCTGTAGATGTTACTCCCTCCCAGTATTTTTGTCTCTTTGGCAGTCAGACAGCCCAGCTGTCTCCTGATGCCCTTGACACACAACCTACAAGCAAAACTGTTGCAGGTCGTGCTGCCCATCACACTCATCGTGAATTAGCTTCAAGCAGAAGACGAGATAAACTGACTGCATGCTGCACGAGGGGATTTGTGGGGTTTGGTTTCTGCTCTGTGATGTGATGCAGAAGCAGCTGATCTCAGCATAGTATGAAGAAATGCATGGAAAATATAAAGATGACTTATTTTATGAGGGTAAAAGTCACTCACATACAGCAGATTAAGCAGATTTCCAGAATAATTATGTAGCTACGGACATGTTTGCTGAGGAATGGCTAATTAGAATAAAACAATTTTCCACTTTCAAGCATAAAATTCGATTTACTGAAATAATTACTTCCTCCTTCATCCAGTCCCTTTGTGTCAAAGTCAACCCGGCCTATTTATCTCTTACTCCTGCAGATTATCCCAACACAATTCCAGCCTCTACTGCATGATCTGCAGGTGAGAGAAGCCTGCATCTTTCCTGCATCCATCTCTAAAGATGCTGCGCATTCCTGCAGGCGGTGAGGCGAGACGCATCCTTACCTTCACCTGGAATCTAGGCGCCATGACAGCGGACTAAAGGCTACATATCCCGCATGAGGACAGACGATGTGTCTTGGGGAGAGGGGAGGGGTTTGAGAGGCGTCACAGAGAGGAGGTGGAAGATGGAGAGAGGAGAAATGGAGGCTGATTCGACAGAAGAGGAGGTGCAGCTCTGCACTTTCATCCTTTAAACATATTCCGTCTGAAAATCCCATCGGCTTTGAGCTGGAGACCTGCATCACGTCTCCATGGAAACGGCCGTCCAATTAGGAAACGTGCCTTTCAGTCAATTCTGCGATTTTGCGCCTGTTTGCGCGCATAATAACCGCATTTTTGGCTTTATTACACATTTCTGTTCGATTAGAAAAATAATTCAGATCGAATCTGTTGAGGCCTTTCATCTCCTGCATTAATCACGTGCAGGAAAACGCAACGACGCGGATAAAACTGTGAATGTTCTAGTGGCACGTTTCATTTTACATCCAAATCATTTAATCTGACCTCGAAAACTGTTTCAAAAATCTTTTTCTTTTGTTATTTTCGAGACAATAAAAGGTACTCACGCTGATCCGAACCAACGCTTCCATCGCCGACGAGGCTGTTTTCACATCCATCTCTGCCACGTGAAGGAAATAGCTTCCTCCTGTTTTCATCATCTGCTTTTACACCAACCACAGAACCTGTGGCGCATGCTAGGAACACGAATAAATATATCTATGCCTCCGGATTCCGGAAAATCGTCAAATAATCGGGGGGTCCGGAGACGCTCAGTCTTCGTGCGTAAAATAAATCAAAACAGAAAAACATCAATTTAGTCGAGGAAAAATCAGAGAAAACGGTGTTTAGATCTGCTGTCAGTGTAAACGCAAATCCATTAACAGATGCCTGTGGCTTCAGTCCTCACCCAGACATCCCGCCCCCCTCATCCCGCACCGGATGTGGCACACAGTGGGGAGAAATCATGAAAAATGTCAACCAATCTGAATTTGTGACCTGAAAAATATAAAGGATATCTGGGTTCATGTCAATTATGTCAATTTGGACGAATAGAAGACAAGGAAATGCAGGATAAACGGAAAAGATTCATATTTGCGTCATTTTCTTTCAGGGCCGTGCCTGGCAAAACTGGGGCCCTGAGCAGAATTTTATCCCCCCCCCCCCCCCCACACACACACACACACCCACCCCAACTTTTATTAGTAGCGATAAATCAAACAAACAGCCTCAACAATAAAACAAGGCTTTTACAGATGCACACATCTGTATTTTCTAGATGCAAAGTAATCAATGATATCCACGACAGCTGCTGTGCCACTTCTGAGTTGATTCTCATGACAGTCAGAAGCCTGGCAAGCTAGACTAAATAAATATATTGTTTCATCTGCAAACGCTCCATTGACAGCTCTTGGTCGTGGGGCAGGTCCTACCGTTGTCTTTCAAATGATCTCCTCATGCAACTGTACAATGAACAACGTGACGTGACGTACTCTCCGCAACGGATGTCGATAAACAAGGCAGTCTGCTGTTGAAGAAGGCAAAAATATATTCTTTTTTTTTTTTATAAAAAAAGGAACGTAAGTACATCTATGTGCTCCTGATTCTAGCCAAAGTCTAAATAGTCCAAAATTGATGTAAAAAAATGAGCTGTCACCATCTTGTTGCATCATCCTGCCCACTCGACATATAGAGAACCCTGACCGGCCCACAAAGTGGATAAAGAGCTGTGATTGGTTCACAAAGCAGATAGAGCTCTATGATTGGCTCTATGATTGGAAGTTTTATGATGCAAAAATGTAAGAAAGTTTGTTTTATTTTGCATCGTGTAATGTTTTAATAAATCTCACCCACTTCTCTTTTAATGTAGCAAATAAAATGTTTCACACAATCATGTTTTGTAATGGTGCAACACGTATTCCACTTAAATGCAGCCTTCAGTTGCAACCTTAGCGTTAGTACAAGAGGGCGCTCAAATCCTTTTATTCACTATAAACCCCAAAATATTATTATTATTATTATTATTATTATTATTATTATTACAAAAAGATGGATAAAGATGAGAAACAAAAATTCTGATTTTCATCAATCTTACAGAACCATAAATTATTTGCACAATTTCTTAAGTATAAATATTAAAAGTTATCCCACTTGTACCTGAAAACATTAGAATAGCAAATGTGAGAATGAGTTTTGAATTCATTTTTATTTAGCTTAGTGGTGCTAAATCTGGGTCCACTACTCGCTGAGGGGTCACTAAAGGTCACAGGAGGTCAACACTATTTTGTTTGTGCAGAGGTTGTACCAGAATTATATCTGTAAAATAAATGTTATAAAATCAGAATAACATACCCTACAACATAACACAAAGAGAATAGCTACAAAAACCTACAATTGCTGCTTTTTTTGCAAATAAATGTTTGGAATTCATCACTTTTGTGTGCGGGTAGGAGTTGGGGGTCCTGGCACGGGGGTCGTCAAGGAAAAAATTTAGGAACCTCTGATTTAGCTGATACTGACGTGCTTTAGTGCTCTAATTCCAGTCAGATAAGTTGACAATAGCTATTCAAAGGAACAAAAGCTTTTTGTGTTGACCACTGGAGGGCAGACACATCCAGGCCTAAAGCTGCTCAACTAAGAACTTCAGGAAACAAACATTAATCTCTTTTAATGACGTCCCCCAACAACCATCAAGTTGAAGGAATCTTCTTTTCTTTCAATGTTAACTTATAAATAATGTAAAAACTGCCCAGCAGAATGGATCAGTAGAGGGAAAATAACTACACACACACACACACACACCGTGCCCCAGATGTTGCCGCCCCTCTATGTCCAATAGGGTCCAAAGAGTCCATGTGAGCCTGACTCACAGTGGAGCAGCAGCCGGGGCGGTGCCCTTCTATAAAACCTCTGCTGCACTTCTTTCACACTTCTGCTCAGATCCTGCTCTGCTCCATCGGATCGGACTTCCTCAGCCCTGCAAGGTAAGATCTAACGGTTCGTATCTGGTCCTCCAGGTGTTCTTGTAGGGTTTCCCGAAGGATCCACGAGGATTTATCTCTTTTTTTATATGGCGCCAGTCTTTTTTTTTTCACCCAAATAATGATAAATTGACTAGAATTTACCTTACTTTTAAGTCTATAGTTTGTTTTGTGGTCATTTCTCTTATTTTGCTGAACTTTTAGAACTTTAGACCTCCTTTTTAAGAGTTTGTTTTCTTAAGATTTCCTTTCTTTGCATGGAGAACCACTCTGAGGTGTGCTGTGGGGCAATATCGGGGTGTGGTTGGACAGTGGGCATGCACACACGTGTTATGCTGACGCAGAGTTTCAATCCCACCACTCTGGGCTTCTCGTTTCTCAGTTTGTTCACGTTTTTCATGCCTTTTGCACAAAAACAAGCCTGGGTTTTCCCCTCCCACTCCTTCTTTTTACCTGTTGCCACAACAAAGTAACAGATTTAGAACTGAATGTCTTGGATTTTCAGTCAAAAGAGGCAATCTTTGCTGTCTTCTATTTATTTTTCTAACTTAATGACAGGCCTACATGAGAACTGCTCATGAGGATTACTCATCTGTGGGAAGGGTGTTGGAGCAAACAGCCACTTATTGGGTGGATGATGGCATGATTCACTTTGGTGTGATGGAACTCTGAGTTTTAGACCTCACCTATGGCTCAGATAAGTTCCATATTAAACATTTGATTATCTTGGAGCTTCTTGCTGAGGTTACAGACTAAACAGGTTAATGTTTAATTACTATTCCCCTTAGATCCCCATTTAAATATCAATAAATCATGCAAATCTGCATTTTTGTTGTACTAAAATAAAATCGTCTGTGTTTTAATTTTGTTTTTCAGTTGAAACAACTTCCAGCAGCCATGCCTTCTGACTTGGAGACCGCCATGCAGCTACTCATCACAGTGTTCCACCGCTACGCCGCCAAGGATGACCACAACAACACACTTAGCCGGCGGGAGCTCAGGCTGCTGATGGAGAACGAGCTGTCCAACTTCCTCAAGGTGTGAGGAGTGATGAAAATACTAATTAAGCTGCATTTTCTGTCATTGTGATGCTAACTAGGGGTGTGTGTTGGCAAGAATGTGGTGATACAATATGTGTCAAAATATGGTGGAGACTATATGATATATATCACAATAAAGGGGAGACGATATGATGAATTTCACAATATGGGGGGGGGGGGTGATACAATATATATTACAATTTGGGGAGACAATACCATATATTTCACAATAAAGGGGAGTTGCTACAATATATATCACAAAATGGAGGAGACGATATGATATATATCACAATACGGGGGGACGATACAATATATATCACAATTTGGGGAGACGATGTGATATATACTACAATAAGGGGGAGTTGATGCAATATATATCACAATTTAGGGGAGACAATATGATATATATCACAATTTGGGGAGACGATGTGATATATACTACAATAAGGGGGACGATACAATATATATCACAATGCGGGGAAGACGATACGATATGTATCACAATACGGAGACGACAATATAATATATATCACAACACGGGGGCAATACGATATATATCACAATACGAGGGAGATGATATGATACGTGTCACAATATGGGGAAGATGATACAATATATATCACAATGTCGGGGGGACGATACCATATATTTCACAATAATGGGGAGATAGTGTGACATATTGTGATACTGAAAGTTAGGTGATATTTGCAATATTTAGACCTAATTTAATTGGAAAATTCAGGCCGGATACTTCCAAGACATATTTAGTGTCATCGCAAGATCTTGTTGTTCTGTCAGTGTAAAGGCGGTGAAAACTGCAGCCACCTATTAGTCATAGAAATACAGTAAATGTTTGCATTTAAATTCTCAATGAAAAAATCAGAACACTCTTTTTAGGTATCAAATCAGTATTGTGACACAAAATATTGCGATATTTCGGTATATCGATATGTACCTACATCCCTAATGCTAACAATGCTTTTCATCTGTGGTCATGTAAGGAAACGATTTCCATCATGCTCTAGTGTAGCTAACGCTGGTCTCCTTGATTCAGGCTTCTAATGCTCTAGTGTGTTTTTATTTACAGTCTCAGAAGGACCCTCACACCATTGACAAGATTATGAAGGACCTGGACGCCAACGGAGACGGCCAGGTGGACTTTGAGGAATTTGTTTCTCTGGTTGTTGGACTGTCTGTTGCCTGCGAGCAGTGCTATCAGACGCACTTGAAGAAGACAGCCAGACAATAAAAGACAGAGAATAAAGAATACAAAACCAAAGTTCTTTTGTAAAATGTTATTTTGTTGAATAAATCGACCTTTTGATTTCAAATCTCTAATTTCCAAGTGCCTGCTGTTTGTCTTTGAGTTTCAAATTTACATATATACTCACCTAAAGGATTATTAGGACAACATACTAATACGGTGTTTGACCCCTTTTGCCTTCAGAACTGCCTTAATTCTACGTGGCGTTGATTCAACAAGGTGTTGAAAGCCTTCTTCAGAAATGTTGGCCCATATTGATAGGATAGCATCTTGCAGTTGATGCACATCCGGGGCACGAAGCTCCCGTTTCACCACATTCCAAAGATGCTCTATCCGATTGAGATCAGGTGACTGTGGGGGCCATTGTAGTACAGTGAACTCATTGTCATGTTCAAGAAACTAATTTGAAATGATTGGAGCTTTAGGACATGGTGCATTATCCTGCTGGAAGTAGCCATCAGAGGATGGGTACATGGTGGTCATGAAGGAATGGACATGGTCAGAAACAACGCTCAGGTAGCCTGTGGCGTTTAAACGATGCCCAGTTGGCACTAAGGGGCCTAAAGTGTGCCAGAAAAACATCCCCCACACCATGACAACGCCACCACCAGTCTGCACAGTGGGAACAAGACATGATGGATCCAGGTTCAAATTCTGACTCTACCATTTGAACGTCTCAACAGAAATCGAGACTCATCAGACCAGGAAACATTTTTCCAGTCTTCAACTGTCCAACTTTGGTGAGCTCGTGCAAATTGCAGCCTCTTTTTCCTATTTGTAGTGGAGATGAGTGGTACCCGGCGGGGTCTTCTGCTGTTGTAGCCCATCCGCCTCAAGGCTGTGCGTGTTGTGGCTTCACAAATGCTTTGCTGCATTCCTGGTTGATTAGATGTTTGCATTAAGGAGAAGTTGAAAGGGTGTTACTAAAAATCCTTTAGGTGAGTGTAAAACAATCTAACTAGTGAAGAGTAAGCGTTGACCTTTGACCCTTTGGTAAAACTCTGGTAAAGGTGCCATAAAAAAGAGACACATGATCACTGATTATTTGTCTCCCTGAACAAAAAGAGGTGGACTTTGCTTTCCTCTCTCCATAAAGTCCTGATTATCATTGCTGTGAGGAATTTGCAGAATGTTCCAGCACAAACACACCCCTCTGTGAGGCGTTATCGCTCCGCTGATGTTGCAACACAGCAATGTACTTTGTGACAGATATGGATAATGATCAGGAGTTTGCTGCAGATGATGACATCACTGTTTCTCTCTGAAACATTGTTTTCACTGTGATTTCTGTTGGGTAAACGTTGGGAACCATCAAAGGAAGGAAGAGGACATTCCATTTAGTCCCCACCCAGTCTGATTCACTCATGAACAGCCAAACCCCCCAATGCAGCACTGCTTTTCAGGCAAATACCCTAAAAGTTATTTAAAGGCAATTTTTATGTTATTATGGAGACAAAGTCATATCAACTTCCTGCCTGAAAGATGAAACTCAGGGTAAAAATATGAATACATTGACATCACCACTGGCAGGGCGTTGCTCTTTTTTTCTATCGTGGTCATGGTAACAGAGAAACATTTTAGTTACTAGGTTACCGTGTGTGTGTGTGTGTGTGTGTGTGTGTGTGTGTGTGTGTGTGTGTGTGTGTGTGTGTACAAAAGCACCACACCCATGTGACCAGTAGCTGAGTCAGTTTTTCTGCCACCATTCTACACAAGATACACTCTGGTGTTTAGAAATCGTAGGAAAATGGAGAAACTCACAAGTTCACACGGACAGAAATTCACTGACATTCAAGAAAAAACATGTTCCTTCAGCTCAAAGATCCTCGATTACGAATGCCTGAGCGTTTGCCTCAGACTCTGACTCGAGATCATTCTCCAGGCAGAGTAAATGATTTGGTGGGGTTTCCCTTTGCTTTTTGCTTGAGGCATTCCTCTCCAGGGTGTGTATTTGTGTGAACTGCAGGGTAAGCAAACACTCATAAATTAAGATGGCACCTGGCCCAGATGCAGATAATCAACCAGTTCTTTGAACAAACTTCTCCAACTTCCAACTGTTGTGAGCTCCCAGGAATTGAAATACTCATGATCACTGATGGTGCTTTGGTCTGACAGGTAATGGCTCATGCGAAGAAAAATTTGCTAAAATTCTAAATAACAGAATCAGCACCAGGCACCATAAATACAAAAGTTATTCCTCTTTTTAGAATTTGGACTCTGGGAGGAAGGCTGAGTACCTGGAGGGAACCCACATGTGCACAGGGAGAACATGCAAACACCTTGCAGAAAGACCCCCGTTTGGGATGTGAACCATGTGAACCCAGAACCTTCTTGCTGCAACAATGCTAACCACTGTGCTACTGTGCAGCCCTTTATTTTATTTTATTTAACTTTATTTATTTAACTTTATTTATTTAACTTTATTAGGCCCGAGCAGCGAAAGTGCAGCAAAGGCCTATTGTATCTGCTCTGTTTATTTTTCTTCCACCAAGTAAATTGGCTTTTTGGAGGACTCAGCATACCCGAAAACTCAGGAATTTTGGCACACATGTCAGGCGTGGTGTAAAATTTTGTATTTTAAAGGTCCCAAAAAAATCACAATAAAACTAGCTCCACAGCGCCCCCTAGAATGTGAAAAATGCCCCCCTTCTTAAATCTTAGTTTGTCGTACAGTTATGAAATTTTGTACACTTGTAGTACTCAACAGTCCGCACAGAAAAGCCTCTTGCAACCATGTTCAAAATCAAACAGGAAGTCGGCCATTTTGGTTTGAAGTGGTGATTTTGACCCCGTTTTGGCCGTTTCTAGGGTCCGCTTCTCATTGATTTACTCGATCATTTTTCCTACGATCATCTCGAAAGTTGTGGGAAATTGCTCAGAAGGGATGAGCGATCAAATAGAAAATAAAAGTGACTTTTTGTGCATACTGAGGGGGCTTGGCCAGACCTCGAATTTTGACTACTCTCCAAAAATATATCAATGGCTATAACTTCATACTCGAATAGAGCAGAGTTACAAAATTTTATGTGGTCATTCAACATCCATCCACAAACTAAATTAAATGGTCGGATGACGACATCACACAAGCCCCGCCCCCTCAGGACCAAAAAGGTCAAGTTTTACTGTGATAGGTCCCAAATCGCCCCATTTCACTTAATCACCACAAATTCGTAGCTGGTAACTCAAGACAAGTGAGGGTTGCTTGGCGTCACTTTAAGGGAGTTTTCAAAAGAAGGCGGGGCTGTGGTGGCAGTGGCACGGCGAAATCAGGCGTACCTCCGTGGCCATACATTTGCCTCCCATTTCGTCATTTCTAAAGATATGGCCACAAAACTTCTGGTGAGTGATCCTAGTCCAGCCCCCCAAAAAATCTGATGTGGAAAAACTGGTGGGCGTGGCCTATTTTCTTAAATAGCGCCCCGTAGGACCATTACAATTGTCAGCCCCAAGCCGTGCTTTGACTGAGGATTACAAAATTTGGTACACTAATGTGGTGTCTCAGGACCTACAAAAAGTCTCTTGGAGCCAAGCCCAAAGTCGCACAGGAGGTCGGCCATTTTGGTCCAAGTACTCGATTTAGTGGTTTTTGCACACGTTGTTTGGAGAATGATGCCCCGTCGCCCTTTTCACCTATCACCTTCAAACATCTGCTATATACTCTTAAGCTATAGGGGAAAAATTTCAACTTTTGATTTTTCAAAAGTTGAAAGGTATGAGCGTGGCTAAGCCTCAAACTTTGACCTGTCGCTATGCCACTCTTTTTTTCACTGCTCCCTATTGGACTCCTTTCACACAGTCACCAGCAATCTCTGGCAAATAGCAGTAGACAAGTTGAGATAACTTGGTGTCCAGTATTGGCAAGTTTCAAAAAAAGGTGGGGCTTTGGGAACATGGCAAAATTCGCCATCATGCCATGTAAATATGTTTTCCTCTCATTTCCTCAGATATCATGATATCACCACGAAATCTCTGGTGAGTTATCCTAGTCTGATCCCCAATAGAAATGAATGTGATAGGTTTGTGGGCATGGCCTATTTTCTGAAATAGCGCCCCCTAGAACCATTAAAACTGTCAGCCCCAAGCCGTGCTTTAATTGAGAACTACGAAATTTGGTACACTAATGTAGTGCCTTGGGACCTACAAAAAAGTCTTTTGGAGCCAAGGTCAATGTCGCACAGGAAGTCGGCCATTTTGGTCCAAGTACTCAATTTAGTGGTTTTCGCACACGTCGTTTGGATTGTGATGCCCCATTGCCCTTTTCACCAATCACCTTCAACCTTCTACTATAGACTCTTAAGACATGGGGGGAAAAAATTCAACCGTCGGATTTTTCAAAAGTTAAAAGTTGTGGGCGTGGCTAAGCCTCAAACTTTGACCTGTTGCCACACCACTCTTTTTTTCACAGCTCCCTATTGGACTCCTTTCACCCAATCACCAGCAATCTCTGGCAAATAGCAGTAGACAAGTTGAGGTCACTTTGTCTCCAGTACTGGCAGGTTTCGAAAAAAGGCGGGGCTTTGGGAACATGGCTAAATTCGCCATCATGCCATGGAAATACGTTTGCCTCTCATTTCCTCAGTTATCGTGATATCGCTACGAATTCTCTGGTGAGTGATCCTAGTCAGACCACCAATAGAAATGGACGTGATAGGTTTGTGGCTGTGGCAAATTTTCTGAAATAGCGCCCCCTAGGACCATTAAAACTGTCCGCCCCAAGCCATGCTTTGACTGACAATTACAAAATTTGGTACACTAATGTAGTGTCTCAGTACCTACAAAAATGTCTCGTGGAGCCAAGCGCAAAGTTGCACAGGAGGTCGGCCATTTTGGTTCAAGTACTCATTTTAGTGGTTTTCGTACACATAGTTTGGAGAGTGATGCCCCATCGCCCTTTTCACCAGTCGCCTTCATTCTTCTGCTATACTCTTAAGACATAGGGGAAAAAATTCAACCGCCGGATTTTTCAAAAGTTAAAAGCTGTGGACGTGGCTAAGCCTCAAACTTTGACCTTTCGCCATTACATTACTTGACCTAACAACTCCCATGTGCATGATCAGATCCATATCAAACTTTGTCCGTGTGATCACTGACCACATCTCAAAACAGTGACAATGTGGACATCTGACATCACCATCATCCGGCCAGGCCGGAGCGGCGCAGAGCTGCGAGGGCCGAACGACGCTGCTTGCAGCTTTAATTTTTCTTTATTATATTTTAATTTTGTTTCATCTCATTTAATTTTTTTCTGAATTTTATTGTTTTAGTTTTTAATTATAAATTAAATAAAATTAAGTGAAATTTTATTTTGTTTTATTTTAAGATGTTTGAATGAATTGTTAATTCCTCTTACCCCAATATTAATTTTATTGAATTCAACAAGCTGATTTCAGATTATTTGGTGTTAATTTATTTTCCTTCAGTTCGTTTTTAAGCCACTAGATAGCAGAAGAGTGCAGCTACAGTGTTGGAAACGAGTGCTTTAAAGACTGTTTATTGTCCATGATGTTTCCATAGCTGTGTTTGGTACATGTGAGTCAGTAGGATGACGACTGCACACACAGTGACTAAGAATTTCCACAATGAAATAACAAAACATGCATCTGAAAAAAACGTGTAAAACGATAATCGGCTACACTTTACAATAAGAATCCCTTTATTAATGCTACTTAGTGCATTATTAAGCATTACTAAACAAATTGTCTCTTTATTAACATTACCATTATTATTGTTAACTATTAAGTATCCCTAAGGTTAGAATAAAGGACCAGGGGGTGTCTGCTCTGTAATGCATTACATATTATGGTTAAAAAGTAGTTTATTTTAATTATTTAATAGTTAATTAATGCTTAATAATGCACTAAGTAACTTATTAAAGGGACCCTTATTGTCATCTGTTACCCAGTCATCTGAAATCATTTGGAAATCCTAAAAATAAATAAAAAAAAACAGACAAAAAGACAGACCATACATTTAAAAATGCAAACTGAGTCGCCACAGTGTTTTTTTTTTTTTTTTTTTTTTTTTTTTGGGGTATTTTGAGACGGATCTTTGGCTTTTAGAGACGTGCCTCTTGATTCCCAATCCCAGAAAATGGTGAGGAAGAGCGAAGCAACTCGGGACTAGAACAATCAGCACACAGAGAGAGCTTGTTCCCAGTGTTTTCCCTTCAGAATCATGTGCCTGTCAAACAAGTTAATAAAATTAGGAGGAAAGAAGTACGACATTCACATTAAATTAGGAATAACTCAGTAAAAGAAAGGGTTTTAATTAAAATGTGAATCTAAAGAGTTTCCTGCAGGTCTTTTTCTTCCTTTTTAGTCTAAAAATTTCATATTTTTTCACAAAATCATCAACAATGTGGCACAAAAGCAGCATATAATTGTTTTTAATAAGTGTGCATGAGCAAATATCTCAAACAAAATAATAATGTGCATTTGCTGATTTTATATTCATCCTTTATTTTAATCTGAAGCTTAAGGGATACGTTTGGAAGTAAATAAGGTAAAGAATGAAAAAAGAGGAGTGGTTGAAGATGAGAGGAGCGTTGAGGAGGAAGAGATCCAGGGTGTGGTGAGATATAAAGCATCCTTTACACCCTCATCTTCATCACTCCTGAAAGAGCGACTGTCATCCTTCGATCTGCTAAAACCTCAGCCTTGGTGAGTAAAAAACTAAAAATATTCACGTTAAAAACAACAGGTTCTTTTGTCTTATTTGATTTCTTAACTGTTGATTGGAATTTGATTAATAATGGAGCCCCTTAAAGCTAATTAAATATGAGCAGATGTTAGATTTGTTCAAAAACAAATCTCTAATGTTTTAATGCCATTTGTGTGACTAACTGGATCTGAGAGTTTCACTTTATAGGTGGACGGAGGGTCTTTTCCCTTAAATGATAAATAAATTATCCCCAGAAAATTCTATTAAAATGAAGATTTCCAGTCGAATCCTCACAAAGCTCTATAGCTGCAAACATTTATGAAGCACATCTTATTTTTAAAGGGTTTTCTCTAATTCTGACTCTAAGAAACACTGTGTTGGGGAGTAGAAACAACAGAACACAGTTTCATGGTTTTCCTCTCTCTTCCTCTACAATTCCCATCTGTTTACAAACCCTACAGTTTCCTCCGCTAACCATGCTCCAGGGACGGCACAGCTCCATCTGAGCCCCAACCACAAGCAGCCTTGGTGCATTTATAGAGCTATTCAGGGTGGAGAAAGAAACATGAGACAACTAAACTTAAATTACAACTTTATTTTAGGAAAGCTGATGGCTTCTGTTAACATAAAGAGGTTTTTTACTTCCTGTTGTTCAGACTAAAGGGTTTCCATGACACTGGTCGGTGTCACTCTGCAGAGACGTGGCATTAGAGACCGGGAGAAATAAAAGCCCAGGTGGATTACTTTCATGCAGCTGGATGGAAAGTTCAAAGAAAAACACCAGCTAAGATGGAAACAGTGATATCAGCTATGGGCTGCTGCTTCAGCGGCGCCTAATATTTTCACTATATTACAAAAAGCAACAACTCTTATTTTTTATATTTTTGCTTTAACTCCTCACATAAAGCACTGCTCGTTCTCTTTAACCACCCCACATCTTGTGGACATGATCTGATAAGATCCACATCTGACAGCATAAGAGTTAATATCTTGATCTGATCTGGAGGCAGAACTTCTAACCGGATCTTTTTTTTTTTTGGCATGTGAATCTTTAAAGTTGTGAATGAAAATATAATAGCTCCCAGGAGGGCTAATGTCAGCTTGTTTATAAAATTAACTTTTTTGTCTAAATTAGTAGGTCCCAAAAATGTCAGTCCTTTATAAATGTTGGTGGTGCTAATGCCCCTTGCCACTTTGGAGCCCTACACATTAAGTTATTTTAAGGACCCCCACAATAAGCCATCCGATGAGGTGGTGGGTGGTGGGTTAGGTGACAGAAAGTGTCCGACGGGCAGCGTTTGCAGTGTCAGATGATCTTTTTTTTTTATTCTCTCTTCCACGGGCTGACTGTCTCAGTCATTGCTCAGTGCGCAGATCGCCTGATTGGAGAGAACAAAATGCGTCCTCTTGTGCAAGATGGGCTCCGCCATGGATCGCAGGGCCCCATGTACAGCGCTTGTTCTGCCTATGAGGAGCGGCACTGTCTGAGCAACTGCTAATGCTGGCCCTGTGCTATCGCTAATGCTAGTTCAAGCCACTGCTAACACTAGCCCAAGGAACTGCTAGCTCTGGCCCTTTGCTACTGCTAATGCTAGCCTGAGGAACTGCTAGCTCTGGCCCTGTTACTGCTAATGCTAGCATGAGGAACTGCTAACGCTGGCCCTGTGCTACTGCTAACGCTAGCCCAAGCTACTGCTAAAATCCTTGTCAGATAAAGGAAAACAAAGAAGGTCAAAGCACACTTGTAACATTCCAGAATGTGCTGGGAACACCCATATTCTGAATAAATGTCAGTTAAATACAAAGCTCCATTTTTAAATTGTCCAGATACATGTGTACATGTTTCTAGCTTCAGGCAGTGTCAGACAGCCATCAGGGTAAACTGGCCAATCAGCAGGCAGCTAATTTAATAATCATGTTCTAGCCCAGTGGGCGGGACAAACAATTCTTACCATTGAGGGGCTTTATTATGGGGTTGTATTTGACCATTTTTCATGGCTCCTGGGCCATTTTGAGCCACAACAATATTTTATTCTCTAATTAAAGGCTCAAGAAAAAGTTTCCAGTTGTTAAAAAAGAAAAAAAACATTGTTCTAGAAGATATTAAATGTCTCCATTTTAATTTTTTTAATTAGCCATCATCATCATGACTGACATCCAGAAGGCCATGGCCCTCCTCATCACCTCCTTTACCAAATATGCAAGCAAGGAGGGAGACAAGGAAACCCTGAACAAGGAGGAGCTGAAGGAGCTTCTGCAGAATGAATTCGGAGATCTGCTGTGTGTAAGTGTCCTTTGCACCTGAGTCTTTCCCAACCCAGCCTGCCCTTCCCCTAAATGATCATTATAATGGCATTTTGAAAAGATGAGAAGCAATCAACTGTGAAGGTGAACTAAAAAGGAAAATGTTTTAGTGTGACTCCTTTGTTTCCTGCAGAAAGCCGATGACAAGGCAGCGATAGACCGCATCTTCAAGGATCTGGACACCAACAAGAGCAACAGTGTGGATTTCAGTGAGTTTGTCAGCCTGATCTGCTGCCTCACTCAGATGTGCCACGATTACTTCACCAGCAAGAAATAAGAATCCCAGCGCCACCTAGAGGCTGACTGAGAGAGATGTGAATTTGCAGAAATTATCTTGTCATGCAAAATTAAATAAACCTCTTTTTTTCCATCTGAATTGCTGCAATCAATCATTTTGTTTCATGTGATTTTGTGCCACTACCGTATAAAACACATTCAAACATTAGATTTCATGATTTGCGGCTTGAGTCCCTTTGATAAAAAGAGCAAAGCAGAGATAAAACAGAAAATAAATCACTGATAAAACCAACATGCTATTAAAAATAACATTTTTAGTAGCATCAAACCAGCAGATAAACATTATTTCACAGCTGTTGTGACACTTCTCTGGGGCTAGCTGTACATCCTTTTCCGGAATACACTTCCATGGTTCCATTATATTTGTAAAACGGGTTTCAGGTGCAATAACTAAATCAAACAACCCGTGTAAGTTCAGCAAGTAGAGTGAAGATAGAGGATTTTCAGCGTGAAGGTCACAGATTTAAAAGCAGACATGCTGGTGTTTTGTGTTTGCTATGGCTTCCTGCTGGGTGCCCCAGTTTTCTTGCAAAGTCTACAACTATGCAACTTACATAACCTAAAAATTCTAAATTGCCGTCAGGTGCAAAGTGAATTTGTTTTCTGTGCATGTGTTCACCTTGGAATGAACCAAAACCCTCCAACTCCCACAAAATGCTTTACTTCAGTATGCATCAGCACTGTTTTGTTTCTTATTTTTATTTTACTCATCTTAATTCTATATTTTTGCACATTTACTTACCTAACAAACCTTCTGTTTCCAACTGGTTATAACATTTGCCGTAATACACAATATGAAATACAGTGATCCTGGTCTTGTACAACTCTGATCTACCATTAACTATTTTGGCTGATTCCAATGTTTCTCAAAAATTAGCAGAATTTTTAAGAAAAAAAATATCAGAGGCCTTGAAACATTTTAATTATTGAAGTAAAAAATCCATGTGGAAGAATTTTCTAACACCAATTGGAATTAGCAATGTTAGGTTCATAAAACACGGAAATTTCTAGGTTTTGTTATTGCAGCTTAATTGGCCATGGTGCATTCACAGACTGAATAGATAACTCTCTGATTACGCAGATTATGCTGAATATTAGGGATGTAAGAAAATATTGATATGGCAATATATATGTTTATTGAGTATTCCTACGATAAATTCAGCCTAAAAGAATTGTACTCTGGCTGAATGTATCGCAATATATCGTGACACATTGTATCATCTCCCTTGTATCGTAATTCGTATCGTATTGCCAGAATTTCACCAATACACATCCCTGCTGAATATTCCAATTACCTCTCAATTTTGGCACAATTCTAGATAAAATGTTATTATCAGGGGCTTGGCGGAAAAGCAGCGATATGACAGAGCATCAAAGGAAAAGTTGATACTTTAAAGTTTTTAACAAAGAATATATCTACATTTATTTTATATATATATATATATATATATATATAGATAGATAGATAGATAGATAGATAGATAGATAGATAGATAGATAGATAGATAGATAGATAGATGATAGATAGATAGATAGATGATAGATGATAGATAGATAGATAGATAGATAGATAGATAGATAGATAGATAGATAGATAGATAGATATTCACTATCTATCTAGTGAATAATAATATTATTAATTATCAAGAAATATTACCAAATACAAATGTGACCAAAGTGGAGACAAATTGAATTGATTATATGTCACAACGGCCTGCCCCACTTTCTTCCGCAGGTCACGTTACGTGACTGTGACTCGTGACGTCACCGAGGGGCGGGTTATTACCAATAGAGTCGGTCTGTTTGGAGCTAACGTAACCCAGGGACAGAGCTGGAGTGTTGTTTTGAATCTGCTAGCAAACACCGACTGCAGGAGAAGGTTTTAGAGCCTGACGAGAAGAAGATGGCGGATGTTGTAGACGAAGAAACTCGGCCAGTTCTCCCTGCGGCATCCCGCAACGGTCCGGTTGTTGACGGTTCCTCGGCGGGCACCGTGGGCCAGAATGCAGCAATGGTAACGTCAGGTCCGAGGGTAGTAAGGATCGTCAAGTCGGAGTCTGGCTACGGTTTCAATGTTCGCGGTCAAGTCAGCGAAGGAGGGCAGCTTCGGAGCATCAATGGGGAACTGTACGCTCCGCTCCAACATGTCAGCGCTGTTTTGCCCGGAGGTGCTGCAGACCGAGCTGGGATATCGAAGGGTGACAGGATCCTGGAGGTGTAAGTTAGCCTCTCCGTTCACTTAGCAAATGGGGCTAGCCGCTCTGTTTAGTTTAGCCTCTACGGTGCCTATTTAAACATCTATCAACATTAAGTACGAACAATAAAAACATATATTTAATTTTCATCTTGTGTTTTTTGGACTTAAGTATTTTGAGAATAAACCTACACTGAGCTGGGGAGTTGCGTAGAAAGCTAACCAGCTTCCATAGTTGGACAACAGCCTCTGCATGTTGATTAGCTTTAGCTAGCAAGCAAAGCGGGTAGCGTTAATTCGAGGGTAAAATACCCGTTGTGTGTCTGTTCTAGCCTCCTGGTAAGGACTTTGCTCGATCAACTGCCTTCGACCCATCATATTTTCACGCATATTTGTGATAATTTGTATTTAGAGCAGTGTTCTGTATTGGCAGAGTCCAGGGCTAATTGGTTGGGAAGCATTCCAAACAGCAGAGCTGTTTACTTGAGGAAGCTCAGTCTGATGAAAACTAACCTTTCAGTAGTCTTCATATCAGCATTTAACAAAATGTTTTAATTTAGGTTAAACGTCATCGCAAGAGGAACAGGCAGTAGAATAGAGTTTATATCACTAAAGGGTAAATAAATCATTTAAATATGGGATGCGTCCTCACTAATAAGTCAGTTTATATTTTAAGAAAGACCTTTAATAATGCCAGACTCGGTAATAAAATAATGAACACATCTCAGCAAGATTGTGAGCTATAACCTTAATAATGAACGCATGAAATTTCCTGCATGTTACTTATTGTGTTCTTTAGTGGTGTAAGCATTTTCCTGCTGGCTCAGCGTGATCATTAAACCTGAGTAATGACAATAGTCTCCCAAATTACCTGGAAACTACAGGGTTAAACTGAGCATAAGGAAGAACAAACAGAAAAAATAAGGAACAATAGTTAAACAAGTTGAAGCTGACTGTGTTTGTCTCTGTTGAATGTCTTCGATCACATGACAGGCCCCGTACTTATCATGTGATAAATTAGCAGTTTTTTAAACAGTAATTTTTAGCTATATTTTTCCTTTTTTACAAGAATCTGCTGTTTTATGTGAAAGTGGAATAGGTGAGAAGTGTGCTCGCTTTAATCTAGGGACAAAGGATGAAAGTCCACCTGGATAATTAGATCAGAAATAATTAATGATCCTTCCACATGAGTGTGTTTACAGAAACCTCGCTTCGTTTCCTCCAGATCTAAATTTCTTTCTCTCCTTTTGACACAAGCTGATTTAGACATTTCACAACTTTAGCGGAGTGTGAGAACTTGGTCGTCCTGGGAGGGTTGAAGGATCGGTTTCATTATTGCATAACATTCATTAGTAAATCATCTGTAAAGGTGCATCTGTGCTGTACAAGCAGCCTTTTTTTAGCATAATTATTAAGTGATATTTTATTCATGAATATTTTTCTTTGAGTGCTCTACCAATGGAATATTCAGGAATATTTTTATGCAGCTATACACCAGAATTTGTTCCGTTTTTGCTGTTTAAAGATATTCTGTGATTGTACCTGCCTCAGTTCTTCTTTTGAATTAGATTTAACTTTTACTTCCCCTCATTTATGCTGCTTACCCTTCAACACAGGACATACGTTTAAATCAAAACAACAGACACATGACTTATTGTCAAATGCATGTTTTTTTATGCCCTTACTGTGTCTGTCACGCTGTTTCTCACTGGGAGATGAACAGACACCTGATGCCCATGCCATCTGGTGTCATCAAAGCTGAGAAAGGAGGCGTCTCCCCGCACTGAAAGAGAGGCGAACATAATCGCTGACCTGGTCACTTCCTACCCTGTGTGTTAATCAATGATGGACAATGTCCTATATTACGACACAATGTAATCAGACACTCTAAAGGATGCGTGCTCTTGATATTTATTAAATGTTTTATGCCAGAAATAATTCGTAGAGTGGGGTTCTGATTATATCTATGAATAGAGTGTCCGCGCCAGTTGTTGGTCTTTTGTGTTCCAGTTATAAATGTCCTGCCTCTTGGCTGGGACTCCCTTTAAATAAGGGTTTTAATCTCAGTGGGACCTTTCTGGTTAAATAAAGAATAAATAAATGAATAAATTAGGGATGAGCGAGTACACCACTATCTGTTCAACCAACTAAATTATCTGTATCTGGGCGTGGCATAACCCAGAAGTGGGCGTGGTTTAACCGGAAGTGGGTGTGGCTTACATCAATATATTATTTTAAGTCTGAAATTGATATGGATTGATCAGAAGTTGATATGTGTATTGTTTATTTGAAAACTGTTTACAGAGCAGCCTCAGAATTGAGATTAAAAATTTTGATCACAATAGTAAAGGAACTATTACAGAACAAGTGTTTCAATAAAATCAGAACATTAATATTTAAGTGCATGGATTAATACATCTGAACTCATGCAGTAGGAACTAGGAAATATGAAATGCTAGAACCAGACACAACTTTATATATATTTTTATTCTAATTTGATTAAACAGATTTTTTTTTCTTAACGTTCTTGGCATTTTGCCCCACACAAAGTTAAACAAAGCAATGTTGATTAAGGTGTGTGTCTGAGAGAGATAGAGAGGGAGAGAGATGAGTTAAAAATATTTAAAAAAAAACTACCGGAGCGGAGGTAGTGAGTTAATGCAGCACGTCAGCTCTGTCTTGTCAAATGCACAATGTATGTTACGAAAAAAGTAACTTTAAATATTCAACTGAAAAAGAGGCGAGCTGAAGAAAACCTAGGGAAAACTGAAGAAACGTGAGCAACAGTGAAGCAATCACAGCGAGATCCGTTACTGTCTGTGTGTGTGCGTGGATGAGCCGGACGGACTGCGCTCCCAGCCGGCTAGAGAGTTTTGTGTGTAGGGAGGGGCGGGCTCTATGTGACTGGCCAATCACTGAGCGTGAAGACAGTCCGTTACCCAATGAGGATTTTCCTTCAGCACGATTACAGATATTTACGAGGTTTACTCGTCTCATGCTCGTATTCGTCAAAAATGCTTTATCCGTACCGGATACTCGTCTGAAACGAGTATCCGGCTCATCCCTAGAATAAATAATAAATGTGAAGATACAAAATTTTAGTTATTTCCAAATAATTTAATGCAACACTAACCCGAAAGCTGTTGCTTTCAAACTGGTTTCTGTGCTTCTTGAGCCAGAAACTTGAGCAGCTTCACTTTAGCCCTCTGCTGGCCAGAAACTGCACTAAACTTTGGTGGTTCGGGTAGGCACTAGTGGATGATTTCTACCTGCTTTACTGCAACAGCTGTGCTGGTAGCTCAAATAAAGGCTAGCAGTTAGCCTTTTCAGTTCACTGAAAAGTGCAAGAAGAAGGTTGCTTTTTGCTGGCATCATGGCGGAGCCTGGAAGTAAAAGGAATATGTCTTTGGATGTGATCCAAAGAGCTAAAACCAGAGTGAGCATCGACGCGGCCTACGGTCGTTGGTTTCAGTTTAGCTAATTTATTTTATTTGTGCGCCCCACTAATTGAGCCACCGCTTTAATATAACCTGAGAAAAATGTAGTAAACAAGCTTATTGTATGTGTTTTATGGTTTTATATGTAGCAATGGCGTGAATGTGGAAGGTGCAACCCACAAGCAGGTGGTGGACCTGATCCGCGCAGCAGAGATGGAGCTGGTTCTGGCCGTGCTGTCGGTTCCACCTCAGGAGGCTGATGGGCTAGAAGGAGGGGACGACGTCCAACTTAGCTACGACTACGGTGACAAACAGGCCGTCCCCATTTCTGTTCCCACGTACAAACATGTAGAGCAGCACTCGGAGAGATTTGTGGTCAGTGATCGTTACATTTACTGATTTTTTAATGTCATAGATTTTTTTTATGCTTCTTTTAAAAAAAATTCTGTTTTTGTATCGTCCGCCGCAGGTGTACAATGTGTACATGTCAGGAAGGCAGCTGTGCTCGAAACGCTACCGTGAATTTGCCATCCTGCATCAAAACCTCAAGAGAGAATTCTCTAACTTCAACTTCCCAAAGCTTCCTGGTAAATGGCCCTTCTCCCTCTCTGAACAGCAGCTGGATGCTCGTCGTAGAGGCCTGGAGGAATATCTGGAGCGAGGTAGGCTGAATACATGACACATACGCTTTTGAGAATTATGTACAAGTCTGGATGTTTTTATGAATAAAAACCTGTATTAGTGTATGGGTATCCCAAAAAGCAACATTTAGCTGAAATATTTGCTTTATTTTGATATCTTATCTCATTTTCTTGTCTTTAGTGTGTTCTGTGCGGGTGATTGGCGAGAGTGACATCATGCAGGAGTTCCTGTCTGAGTCAGACGAAGTATGAAGTGTTCTATCTTTTACTTTTTTGTGAATTTGCTTGTATTTTAATGATTTTTATACTATTTTTGCATATGTGTGTAATATTTTTTGCTTCAATAAGCCACATTGTATGAAAAAAGTAAGAAAACCTGTCTTAATGTGTTTTTGCTGCTGATGTAGATTCCTTTTGTGAAAAGCCTCCTTTCCAGTGGACGTGTAAGCGCTGCAAAATAGCTGCAAAACATACTTTGCTGCAATTAGCTGCCATCATGGTGGACGGTTTCCTTTCCACCTGCAGCAAAGTGTAACACTTTGGACGCGTCCCAGACGCCAACATTACCTTCTGAGTATATTTTTTACGCCACGCTTTCAAAACACGTCCAACTCCAAAGTTTAGATCGAACCAAACAGGGAAGCAGTGCAAAACATTCTGAAGCTTTCAAAATAAAAGTCACTTGCAGATCAAGGTGCATCATTTCCTTTGAAACCCTTGTAGCCGATGCAAACAGAACCTTTTTGGATACATATATCCGTCTTTCTCCTTTCTTGTTATTTTTTGGACTTCTGAAATCACGCGTGGTGTTGCAATTCACCCGTGATCTTGTGACCTAATGGGTTCACCTGCGTGGAACGCTTTCGTTTCAGTTTTGTGTCTGAAACATTCCGTTCTAATGCGGGTAAAACGCAGCTACTTCATTACGTGTCCGGTGGAAAGAAGGCTTTATTTAGAGATATCCATTAACACAATTTTGCATTAAAGCAGAAATCAGGTTTTTTATTTTTATTTTTCGCAGATGGCACCATCTAGAGGCAGAAAAATGTACTGCACCATAAGCCCCTCTCTCTACTTCCGTGATTACGGCTAGAAGCAACGCCTCTCTTTCGTGAACGCTCACCTCTAGCCGGCCAACAGAGCTAAAACATTGTTTAACTCATTCGCTGCCAGCGTTTCTCACCGTTTTTACTGTTTTTTTTTAAGAGTCACAGAACGTTGCGCGCTAGGATGATGTCGATGCCGAAACAACCAAAACAAAGCGGAGACTCACCTCTTACATCAGGAAGAATCTGCGTGTTTCGAGCTTTATCCGTTCTTTCTTAATCCGTTGTTGAATTGTGATCGGCAGAAGCTTTTCCGGTTCGCACCTCACTTTTTTTACAGCAGCGGCCCAAAACAATCTCCTAACACATGGATTTTCTGCTTCCTGATCACGTGACGTACGCGGATGAAGATCGGCTTTAGAGCTGAGATGTTTGTTCTCATGGTGCGGGTGCTCGTTCCGACGCCCACACAGTAAAGAAATGCAACATATCTATGTATTTTTTAAAGACTTACTTGCCCACTAATGCTCACCCACGCTCTGTGATTGACATCTGTATGAAAGCATACGTCTGTAATGCTAATGGCTAATATAGAGGCGCTCATCTAATTGCATGGGGCTTATAAAAAATTGGCGTATGCCTACATAATACCACAGTACAGGGTCTCACTTTTACAGATTTCTAATAAATCGTACATAATTTCTTCTAAGGGGAAAACCTCAGATTGCTGCTTCAAGTGTTAGTTTCATTTATCTTTATCGTGAATATTGTGATCTTTTAGAAAGTCAAATGAGATGAAAATAAGAATCTCGTTCAGGAATCAGAGGAAGCAAATGAAAACCAAACATTCGGCTCACCCTCCTCACACTTCTGTTTTCCTTGCCCAGAGCGGATAAACAAAACACTTTCTTGGATGGGCCGTTCACATGTTTAGTTCACGGCAACCATCGTTTGGGGGAAACCCAAGAACTCGCATTCAGAAAATCTAAGGGGGACAAAACTTAATTCATGTGCTGGGTGTTCAGAGACAGATGGGTGGTGGAAATTAGGCCAAGAAAGTGGGTCCTTTCAATTTTTAGTCTGGGTCAGAAATGTCAGTTTAAGCTTTTCTGGTCTAGTTTTAACACAAAAGTGTGTTTTGTGTTACTTCTTATAACCGCTACGTTCATCTGTGTAGAACTACAACGGCGTGACAGATGTAGAGCTGAGGATAGCCCTGCCAGATAAGACCACCATCTCCGTCCGAGTCCGTAAAAACAGCACCACAGACCAGGTGTACCAGGTAAGACCAGCCGATTGTTGTTCACGGGTAGCCGAATCATTGGAAACCCTTAGCTGACTTTATTTTGGTCTTTCTGCAGGCGTTGGTGATGAAGGTTGGAATGGACAGTATTATGGCGAGCTACTTCGCCCTTTTTGAAGTCATCAACCATTCTTTTGGTAAGAAATTCATGTCATTTCTCAGAGTGTAGTCGGTTACAAACACCGTTTTTCTAAATTAACACCATGTTTCTTCTTTTTCGTCTCTTGTTTCAGTGAGGAAGCTGGCACCGAACGAGTTCCCTCACAAGCTTTACGTTCAAAACTACACATCAGCTGTTCCCGGTACTTGCTTAGCTCTCCGCAAATGGTTGTTTAGCATTCAGGAAGAGGAGTTGCTACGAGATAACCCGCTGGCACTGCATTACTGCTTCCATCAGGTAGTGACGATACACGCTTACCTCATGACAAATATACTTTCTGTTAGAATACAGTTGTATGATCTTTTATCTAGTTTTTTAAAGAAAAGGCTGCTTTTTCTACCTTTTTGGAAAGCATGTAATTGATCTACATGACAAATCCAAGAAGATGAAGTCATTTTAATAAATGAAAAAGTGCATTTGGGTCCTTTTTAATCACATAAATGTTTATGGCCTACTTATATAATTCCTGTCAGAGTTTTAAAACACCCTAGGTTGAGAAACGGTGGAGTTTTAGCCGTACTGGTGAAATATTGGAGATAACGTCATGTACAGTCTCACGCAGGATTGCACAATCATGCATTATGTGATTTGAGAATTTCATTAAAATCTTCAACAATGTCATTTGACAAACAGGCAAAAACAGTATTGTCTGACTTTTTTGCTGCGGAGAATTCGCCTGGCCACGACCCGTCGACAGAGCTCGGTAAAGAGGCAGAATCTACGATTGTCTTTTGAACTGTCTGCATTGGACAGAGCTAGGACCAATCAGAGCAATGAACAATGTGACGTATTCGTCGCTACAGAAATCAGCCAGCGGGGCAGTCCGCCAAACACGAAGAAGAAGAAATTGAAGTACCTGTATCTGCTCATGTCTCAAAGCAAAGCCAAAGTCTAAATAGTCTAGAGTTGATGCCAAAGCCATTTCAACAGGTTATCCGCGGGTCCTTAAAAGTCTTAAATTTGCTTTTCCAAATTTAAGGCCTTAAAAATCCTTAAAAATGACAAATAATCCTTAAATACAGTTTCTAAAGGTCTTAAATGACCAAAGACCCAATAAACAAGATTATTTTATTTCTATAAAATTTTCGTGAATTTCTAGTTAGTTCAGGATTTTTTGTGTATGATGTTGGCGTAAGCGGAACCGTACACATACGGTTGGTTGTGAAAGGGGGCTAATTTTAGAGGAGCATGCTAGTGGGAGCTTGCGCCATGGGGAAGTGCAACATTAATGGTAACTGGATGGCTAATCCCACGTTCACAATGTGGTTAGCACCGGTTCCAGGCAATAGCTGGAAATTATAACTTAAATTTAATATTAAAAAATAGCTTAAATTTGGTCAAAGTGGCCTTAAAAAAGGTCTTAAAAAGTCTTAAATTTGGCTCCCTTAAACCTGCAGATACCCTGTTTCAAGCGATTGTCGTTCCAAAGCCACCGCCATGCTTGTAGTTTTGCTCCATCGCAGCTCTGCCATCTTTCTACAGATCTAGAGCGCTGTGATGGGCCTAGCTTAAACAAGCTACTGCGCAGCGTGGCTAGACCGACCTGTAGCTGCTGCTTCGGTTTGTAGATTTTTAGGCTAGTGGACAACATTAAAATATTTCCTCGTGGTCATGAGCACAAAACCTGAGACTCGTATCATAAACAACACAATGAGTCATTGTTAGGTATAAAGTCACCTTTTACTACCCTGCGAGCGATCGGCCAGCCAGTAGAGGTCGTTCACCTGAGGCAGGGTAAACAGTGACCCATTAAATCATTATAAAAACACCTTTTGAGGAGTACAAGCATCGGAAAAGGTCTGCTGATGTGGACCTTTGTGGTTCTGGCAGCATTTGAATAATGTTAGAATATCTTTTTCTGCCATCTTTGATTTCACTTTGGAATGAAGTGGTACCAAACGTTCAGCATCGCTGATCCGTTCACTGAATCGTTTGTGTTTTGTTGTCTTGTTTTCTAAATGTTGCATCTCTTTACACCATCCTGACCCCCCCCCCCTGTCTGTCTAGGCACTGGACGATGTGAAGAAGGGATTCATAAAGACAGAGGACAAATCCTACCAGCTGCAGAAGCTGGTGGAGCAGCGCAAGATGGCCACGGTCAGAACCACAAACCAGTCTTTGTTGTATTTTTGGGGGGGGGGGGCTACGTTTTGTGCCTGCTGACCAGAGCCGTGACCAGAACTCTTCTAACATAAGCACAAACAGGAAGAAAGATCAGAAAACGGCCCTCTGTGGTGAAAACAGCGTTTAATATATTGATGTTTGTGGAACATTAACTAAAAGAGCTCCTTTGTGTCTTAAACCACGTTACCAGCTACCCTCCAAAGCTGTTAAAGAACTGTAAATAATCACACAGACATGTTGTTTCACACAGAGGAATTAAAATCTAACCCTAACCCTGTAGCTAAGCTAGCTGCTTGTTGTGTTGCTGGCTGATCGTTGTCCTCTGCGTGACGTTTAGTACCTCAGCCTGTTGCGGACGTGTGAGGGCTACAACGAGGTGGTCTTCCCCCACTGCTCCTGTGACTCCAGGAGGAAGGGTCACGTCATCACGGCTATCAGCATCCATCACTTCAAGCTGCACGCCTGCACCGAGGACGGCACGCTGGAGGTGAATCTGCTGCGTTAAAACACGCACGGGCACTTTTCTGGCTCATTTCTTTAACTTCATGAGAAATGAGAGCATTATTTGTGTCTGCTTCTTCCAGGAGTGGACTTCCTTAAACTCTGAACTAGGGTATTAACCTAAACGCTGAACTGTGTTTTCCCCAGAACCAGGTAATATCATTTGAGTGGGCGGAGATGCAGCGCTGGGACACGGACGAGGAGGGGATGGCGTTCTGCTTCGAGTATGCCAGAGGAGAGAAGAAACCCCGCTGGGTTAAGATTTTCACTCCTTATGTGAGTTTTCTTTTACACCTGTGATAATTACGACATGCCATAGATGCACAGAGCAGCTGCTGTAATGGATGACAGCATTTGCTGCTAGAGGTGAGGGATTGAAACTACAACCACAGATGTTTTTATGGAATTACTGTAAAAGCCCGGATGTATGATCTCAGCATTTCTACTACCTCTGGCTTTTATTTAAAATCAAACCTTCACGCTAAAGGTTGAATTAAATAAGAGCTTCCTTTAGCTTAATTAGGGGTGAGAGGTTTGGTAAACATTTATATTGAATTGATCATTTTTTACGAGGAATCCTGAAATGTAGTTCGTTTATTTTAACTAAGCTTTTTACATTTTCTTTTTTGGTTCTCTACTTTTCAACTTACTGAACTACGTAGCCTTATTTCCCAGTGTAGCTAGTGCTAAAATCAAGCTAACACCAACACAAACCAATTAGTACTAAAATAAACCACAAAGTTACAAGATCCACACATATTACTCAAGTCCAGTGGCAACAAAGCCAGGTCACCATCAGTCCCTGATTTCTACTTTCTTACTTTTACCTCCAGACTCATCATGATCCCAACAAAAAAGCTAACTTCTTCTTTTTCTTGTTCTTGTGCTTTTTATTGACAGTCGGCAAACTGAAAAAGCTAACTGCTAGCCTTCTTATTAGCTACTGGCACAGTAAACAGCTAACAGCAGCAGGTAGAGAGCTCCCCCTAGGGCACCTACCATCCCAAAGAACTGTTAAGTGTAGTTTCTGGTCAGCATAAGGCTGTCTAAGGTACAGCTGGTCAAGTCTGTACCTACAGAATCACCAAAACCCACTTTTAAACAAATCGCTTCAAGTGTTTACTTTAAAATGTTGTTTCTCCTGTAATTCCATGATCTCACGGGATCAGCTGCATGGAATGGTGGGAGCCCTGGAAAGTGGTCCAGGCAGAAATGCTCCCTAGACAGAACACTGGCTACAGATGAATTTACGCTGCTTTGGAAGTTTGTCGATACGTCGGAACCATCACTTTTTAATGTCGCTGACCTCTCGACATTTAGTGTACATGCCGCCGTGCATGGCAGCCCAGAACAACCCCTGGCTGTTCTAAAATATGCATGATGGCAAGTTTTCTTTTGTAAGGAAAACAAAAAGCATAAAAACTGCCATCCATTCCTTTAACTTATCAGATTTTCATTTAGAAAATGCGAAGACGACTGATTTTAACACACCTCAGCAGACTGTAGAAGTCTGAGTAACGTTTTCTGGTCTCTCTCTCTCCCTCTCTCTCTCTCTCTCTCTCTCTCTCTCTCTCTCTTTCACTCTCTCTTTCACTCTCTCTCTCTCTCTCCCTCTCTTTCTCTCTTACTCTCTCTTTCTCTCTTACTCTCTCTTTCACTCTCTTTCTCTCTCTCTCTATTTCTCTCTTACTCTCTCTCTTTCACTCTCTCTCTCTCTCTCCCTCTCTGTCTCTCTCTCTTTCTCTCTATTTCTCTCTTACTCTCTCTCTCTTTAATTCTCTCTCTCTCTTCCACTCTCTTTCTCTCTATTTCTCTCTTACTCTCTCTCTTTCACTCTCCCTCTCTCTCCCTCTCTGTCTCTCTCTCTTTCTCTCTATTTCTCTCTTACTCTCTCTCTTTCACTCTCTCTCTCTCTCTCTCCCTCTCTGTCTCTCTCTCTTTCTCTCTATTTCTCTCACTCTTTCTTTCACTCTCTCTCTCTTTCTCTCTTACTCTCTCTCTTTCACTCTCTCTTTCTCTCTTACTCGCTCTTTCTTACTCTCTCTCTTTCTCTTTCTCTCTCTTCCTCTCTTTCTCTCTCTTTCACTCTCTCTCTTTCTCTCTATTTCTCTCTTACTCTCTCTCTTTTACACTCTCTCTCTCTATCTCCCTCTCTGTCTCTCTCTCTTTCTCTCTATTTCTCTCTTACTCTCTCTCTTTTACACTCTCTCTCTCTATCTCCCTCTGTCTCTCTCTCTTTCTCTCTATTTCTCTCTTACTCTTTCTTTCACTCTCTCTCTCTTTCTCTCTTACTCTCTCTCTTTCACTCTCTCTCTCTTTCTCTCTTACTCGCTCTTTCTTACTCTCTCTCTTTCTCTTTCTCTCTCTTCCTCTCTTTCTCTCTCTTTCACTCTCTCTCTTTCTCTCTATTTCTCTCTTACTCTCTCTCTTTTACACTCTCTCTATCTCTCTCTCTCTCCCTCCCTCCTAGTTCAACTACATGCACGAGTGCTTCGAGCGTATCTTTTGTGAGCTGAAGTGGAGGAAGCAGGTAAGGACCACTCCTTTCCTCTTTGTGGGAAATGTACCGCATGCCAGCTTTGTACGTCTAAACTTAGCCGGCCCTTACATTGTTCTTCCCAAACGCAGAAAGCACTCGCAATGTTATCTTAATCCCCTTTTCTTCAAATGTCAAGTTTTCCATGTCTTTATCTGCCTCAGGTGGAGGAAGAGGCCTCTGATAAAGACAACAAAAACTGCAGCAACAACGGTGAGCAGATAACTTTTGTTACGCTCTAATGGGACGAGGTATATTTTTAATTCTATTATGCATTCAGAGGCTTTACTGCTTAGATTGATGACACCCATCAAAGAGCATGAATTATGCAAAAGCATCGTATCTGTTCACACCTAAAATGTCAAGGATGGAACGAGAATGTCAAACACCAATTCTTCATTTGTTCAAAAGCAAAGTTTATGTGAACATTTTAAAAGTAGAATTATTTTCAAGTTCAAAAGGAAATGAAGAGTTTTGACAAGATTAAAGGATAACTGCTAAACTATAGAAGACTTTGAGATGAACCTTCGCCTCATTATCCAGCTCATCTCTGCTGATTAGATAGAAGCTGATACTGATGTGAGACGACACGAGTATGTGGAGGAGCAGCCACATTAAACAAGTATGAAGGGAAAGGTTTGAAGTTCCAGGAAGAAAACGAGAGAGAGAAACACCTGAAGACATTGTTGAGGACATCTAGATATGATGCAACTGATCGAAACCTGAATGATAAGGATCAGTGAAGAATACGTCGTGTCCTCTGGACACACCCAGCCTTTCCAACAGACGCGTAAACGTAACAGTTTATACCCCCCGAGCAGTGGAGTGAATCGGCAATGAAAGCGCAGCTGATCGCTCAAGTTTACGGAATCACCGGAGAATAAGATCGCTCATAATTTTGGCAGTTTACGCGGTAAAAGTGAAGAGAAAGACTGCAGCATGTCCAAAAAGTCTGTGATCCATTTTCTGTTCCGTTTATTTTGGCTACGAAGGGTTCTAATGACGTACTTTTTTATTACTAGTTGAATATGGAACAGTTTATTTAAAAGCTATATTTAAAAAAATGATTCCTCCACGTGGCATTTACAGGTTTAGAATGAAAGTACAACTATATTTTCTTTAAAAAAATAACAAATGTTTACTTTGACGGGCACAACACTGGTTTTATGTTTACATCTACCAGCCAATAGAGGGCACCATTGCGGGTTGCCAACTATTGTAATTTGGCACATCGAGGCCGGCACTGTGAAAAATGGCGGACTCGGAAAGTCAAGCACCTGCTTCTGAGCCTAGAAGATGTCGACAATTGAAAGGATAACATTAAATTCTGTTGAAATGAATCCTTAACCTGTACGATTCGCCACTGGAAATGGTGCCGGTGGTCACTTCACGTGTCAACACTGAACCTGACATCCCGGCAGCTGGAAACCTTGTTCTACTGTTGCAGCTACAACCTCCACACACTAGGTGTCGCTTTGGCGTTCCTGTTCCATATTCAACCTTTTAAGAAGCTAAAAATCTGCACGGAGCTTTTATTTTGAAAGTTTATGAATGTTTTGTACTGCTCCAGTGTAACACTTCCTGTCTGGTCCGATCTGAACTGCTGGACCTGGCGTGTTCAGGAAGTGTAGCGAGTAAAAAGATCATACATCAAACGCAAATTTAGCAGAGCAATGCACTTTTCTGGGACGCGTCCAAGACACGCCCTTCGACTAAAATGGCGGCTTTCAGCTGCGCGTTGCGCGACACGTCCGGTGGAAAGGCCCGGTCACTGATCCCTGTTGTGTTTCACGAGTCACATAAATAAGACTTTGTCCCTTTGAATCGTCACTTTGTTCCAGAGTATCTGCCTCCTCTGGAGACGCAGCAGAAGGGATGGCGCCACCTAGGGGGGGAAATCGCTACTTCCTAAAAAAAATAAAGCCCCGTCACTCAAACCAGAACTGATCCACTCGCCTCATCACAGCCACCCACAGAGAGCGCCCATTGTCAAACTAAGGAGCTGGGAGACCGAGGTTGTCCCGCCTCCTTTTTCCTCCTCCTCCTGAAAGGAGATGACCAGTTTGGGATGCTGGAAGAAAATCCAGAGACGAGCAAAGCGAAGGAAGGAAAATCAGCAAAAGCCAGCTTTGTATTTAATTTACCAGATCTCCATTACGTGTCTTTCCTCATGCATCTGCCCCGGGACGTCCAGGCTCAACACTAGCAACATTCTCACCCGTGGACGAGACGGCCCACCGCTCAGGTCTGCCGTGGCTCGGCTGCAAAGCCTCGAAAGGAGCTGACTTCTGGAATGGAGTTTAGCTGTTCTTACTGACCCGAATGGCAAACTGAGCTTAGATGAAAAAATGGGGCGTTGGTGGAAAATGTATTTTCTTTTGCTTCTGTCACAGCCGGTGATAAGAGAAGAAAGCAAAAACGACACATAACACTGATGCTGGACATTAACAGAATAGAAGTCATGTTTTCTAACTGTGGGATTGTTGGCGTCCTGTTTCTGTCTGAGAACACAAGCAGCACAAATGTCATAATCGAAGTGTTCCTCATTGATTTGTATGTTTAACAAACTGATGAAATATAGATTAATATAAGAGCTGTAAAAAAAAAAAATGGTTTTCTTGATCTCACTGAGCTCCACGTTGGCCCGGCTCGGGTCTAACCTGCGCTGCAGAGTGACATCTGCTGGCAGGCAACCATTAATCCGGCTGTATGGATATTTTATCCCCATCGGAAGTGTTTTATGGTGGCAATTCTGCAGAGCTCCAGAGCTGAGCGAAGGCGGCTTTGTCATTCTGGGCTCTGCAGGAATAATCTCTTCAACAAAAGGTTGATGGGCCAAAGCGTTAATGTTATTGAAACATCACACCGTACACTACGGGGAACCTGACAGATTGTGAATAAAACAGCAGGATTTGTGTGTGCAGGGGTGCAGTTCTCTGAGCAGGCAGCAGGGGGCAGCAGAGTATTAGGCCCAGCCAGTCAGTGGGATGAAATGAAAATGTTTATGCCTCTGGGTCTGTAAGTGACCCAAAAGTTTCACTCTCTCACATTAAGTCAGGAGGAAGATGATGTGTCTCCAGCCACACCCACTCAGTATTAGCCGTGTGATTTAAGGAAAGTACACTTGTGAATTTCTGTCTTGCGAATCATAGTTTTATTTATGTTTTTTATGTGTTTACCAGGTTTTTTCTTCAGTGTACTGTAGAAGCTGACAGGTTCTCTCTAAACGGAGACGATGCTGGGGTTCTGCTCATCCCACTAAGGGCTAGTGTTTAAATCAACTAGTTCAGCAATGTGCTTTATTTAAAAAAAATCATTCATGAGTCTGAATAAATACCTTTTAGGTAGTAAAATAATAAATTCAGAAACATAGAAACTGAAAATTTTCACTCTAAAGAAGAGATTAAAAAATCTTCAGAATAAGTTTTCAGTACACGTTTGACTTCAGCAGATTAAAGTCGAGCTACGTGTGTGTGTGTGTGTGTGTGTGTGTGTGTGTGTGTGTGTTTGGAGCTTGTGCTGCCCGCGCGTGTCCTCCGTGTTTATCGTTGACATTGCTGATAAGCTGTTAGACTATGATTGGACGTGTCTGATGAGCTGTTGGTGCAAAACGAAGATGGGATTTGGGTGTAAGACACCAGGCGGATTTAGACAAATGAGAAGTGTTAAACGCACACACACACACCTTCTACGCTGTAAGAAATTTGTTTATTTGACATGTAATAGTTGCCTCTGGGTTACGCAGCAGTTTATAGCGATACACACGGCCCGCTGTAGCTTGTGGCCTGATTGAGAGGGTTCAGAATCCTGGATGCTGATGCTGACGGCTAAAGTAATAACCAATTTAGAGATGGATGATGGAAGATCTGCAGCTGCTCGACCATGATGGCGTTTTTGTTTGACTTTACTTGTGACACAGAGGGGAGGCCGTCAGAGGTCCGTGATTGTGTGCTTGTTTGTCCTCTACTCTCGCTCTCCTCAGGTTGCTCTGCCATCACGGCAGGGGGAATGCGGTTGCCGTGGCAGCAACACGTTGCCTCAACACGCTCAGTGCAGCTTCTGTTCCTTTTATTCCCGTCATCCAACCGTCTCGCTCCTCCCAATAATGTATTCAACGCTGTGGTTTTTGCCGTTTGATGTTTGTTCTCTGTCTCAGTGGCTGCTGTGAATACGCTTCTAGAAAGCGGCTTTTATTTAATTTCATTTCATTTTTGGGGGGGGGTTGAATTGAAGTATTTAGTGGTTTGATTTGTCTTGTCTATCCCATGTGCCGCCTTATGGTCGATCATAGACAGGTTAGTGTGTGTGTTTCCTGTCAGCTGTTGTTCGTTTCACCCCGTGGGCTAAATGCCATAGTTGAGAATAAATAAAAAAGCGAGAGCGCAGATGTGACGAGAATGTAGCCGGGCACGTCTTTAGACAGGTGAGCTGTTTGATGTTGTCGGAGCGTGCGGCGTTGAGATGCTGCACGAATAAGCGAACGGTTATTTATTAAAAGAACAAATTCAGGTATGATTTCAGTTACATGAATGTTGGAGGGTGCACGAAACTTAAGAGTTAGTAAAAAATAAAATAAAAATGTGAGGGCAAGGCTCTGAAAGTTTCTCCATCACTATTTGGAGTGCAGTTGCTACGGCAACACATCAGCTGTCTGAGTCTTGTGTTAAGTCTGCGTTAGTTGAAGTTGTGTAGCTCACACTCCGCTTTTTGTTCTTATTTTTCTGTCTTTGCTGGATGTTTTGGGTCCAGTCGGAGTCGTTCTCATCTGTGGAGACTCGGTATTCATCACAGATGCTGCACAGCCCGCGTCCTAACGTTGACTAGCATGACGGGTGGATGTAAGTGCTGTTTTAAAAACAAAGTGTCTACCTATAATTAGCTGCTTTGGAAGGAAAAACCAAAAAAGCAGCGACAGAAAAACTCCTAAAAAGCATTTGTCTTCAGTTTAACCTATAAAATGTTTTTAAATGAAAGAAAAAGTATCCTACTTTCAAAATAAATGCACTCTAATTTCCTCAAACTTCTATTTATTTAAAGATATTTCTCAAATTCTAGTGTGAAACCTTTCTAGACACTATTCACTCTTTATTTAGTGTGGGGGCCTACTACAAAAGACTCAGTTGTTTAAAATGTGGTTTCTCATTTGATGAGTGTATAAAGACATCAATTAACTCAAGCTAAAAAAAATAGTTTTATATCTAAAAATGTCTTTGAAGGTTTACTAACCAGTATAAAAAATACAAAAATTTAAAATGTTGTGTAGAGTAATAAATTGTAACAATATTTTAAATAAAGTTATATATTGGGAAAGGTGTTGATGGTCTGTGTTTATTTTCTTGCATTTGAAGTTTTTTTTTACTGCCAGTTCCATGATAAATCTCATGTGCAGTGGTGTTCCAAAGGGATGGCCAAGGGGGGCAATGGCTACCCCTGGAAAATTCTTGGCAGCTCCACTGGCCTTCCTGTGGAAGATCCCCTCACCTTATGTCTGATAATAATTGGTCACTGAGTTTTTCATGCAGGCTGAACATGAACATAGTCTTCTGCATTTGCCTATGATAGAAAATAGATGGTGTAATGTGTTTTGTCCTCACCGGCTCACGTAGAAGGAAACATTGTGTCTAATATGGCATTTTCCAGGCTTGAATCCACTTCTATCCATTTTAGACACGTTTTTCAACAACTGGGCATCATTTAATTCAATTTCAACAATATTTTGATGTATATTTCCAGAGGTTAACGGTAAAAAGTACACATTGTCTCTCTATTGTTCATGGACTCACCCATCTTGACTCGTGAGAGGAAAGGCTGGTGTTGGTTTGGCGTCCAGGAAACGGCAGATGTCTTGACTAGTAGAAGCTAACTGTTGGCATTAGCAACTCCACCTCACAGCAGAATTCCTCCAGGCTTCAGTTATTTTTAGAGATAAAACATTAGTGTTGCAAAGCAAACTGAGTCAGTGGTAGAGTTGTGTTGCTGTTATCCAATCAGAGGCAAGATGTCCAAATATCAGGAAATAAGACACCAACGTCTTAAGCTACGTTTTCCTCCGCATCGGAGCTTTTCTCCCGAGAGTAGGACTTACCAGCCATTCATTCCTATAGAGACCACAGCAAATGTATTAAAAGTATGAGTAAAGTTGACCTTTAAATATATAATTAAGAATTTACTATTTAAAATCACCTAAGCTAACCATTTTCAAAAAGGAAAGTAGTGAATATTTTTGTAGAAGCAGCAACAAGCAAATTCAAATTTTTTAATTCTAAAACAATGACATTTGAAGAAATAACTGAAATGTTTTGCTTTTTCTGAAGTGTTTTTTCCCCCCTTTAATTTGAGGTCAATATGTTTGATGCATAGGCTTGTTGTTTTAAAATGAAAAGAACAGCTACAAGCTTAACTCTGCCACCCCAAAATTGTCACTGGCCCCCTTGTGAAGGTTTTCTGGGGGCACCACTGCTTATGTGGTGTTTATTATTTTATGGATTCTCCTGACCTCACCAGTGACAGGAGAACCTTTTAAGCAATAAAGCTGCAGTTTTCTGCTTTTCTGTGTCCAGTTTTGTGAGATAACTTCTATAATTCTGTGTAGGTGGCTTTTATGCCGACTCACTAGTGGTAAATGTTACATTTGGCTTAGATTGAGACCCCGGAGCAGCTTTGACAGCAGTTTTTGTTTCTTTTAACACCTTTGAGCTGCGCAGCCCGGTGTTTAAAAAGCAGAGCAGGCCGATCATGACAACAGAACGGATATGACAGCCTGTTGGCAGGATGAATTTCATCATTAAAAGGGTTTTAAGCTCAGTGGAAAAATGTAACCTCATCACTTTCAAGTCAAACGAAAAGCCGCTCTGTTGCACCGCTTCTCCTGTTCTCTTGCTGTGCAGTTCTCATTACAAATTCACATTTCCTGCCTGCAAACAGCCCCAGGTTTATTGGAAAGGGAGAAGTGCTTTGCCGAGCATTACATGTCCCAGGGCCATGTATCATGGTTTGCAGCTCCGCAGGCGCATTATCCTGGTGGAACCACGGGCACGGTGACATTTTGATAGGTGCAAGCTGCACAGCGTTCCCTCGCTGTTCCCAACAGGAACTGTTGCACTTTGTGGGGAAAAGCTGGGGAGCAGAGGTGGCCGTATTATTTAAACTTAAAGTACAAGGGCTCCTATTGCTCCTCATGGACTCAAGCCTATTAAATTTGTGCTCTGGCTCTACTGAGGTGAAAAAAGCTCATCTCATTCAAGCTGATGCTACCACCGTGATGTTTCCATCTGCCTGCATCATCTTTCGCCCCCTGTTACCCAACACTGGGAATATTCATCAGTAGTAATCTAGTTTAATTTTAGAAATTACAGTCCATAGTCAGTGTTGGCGAATGCCAGTCGTATGGAAGCTACAACCGCAGAGCTGTTTTCTTTCATTTAGAAATGAAGCGTGTTTTGAGGTGCAATCATCTTCATGCTGACAGAGTTGGTACCCTGAGGTGCAAAAGAAAGGGAAAAAAAATCATAAGAAAACACTTTCAAAACAGAAAACGCATGAATGTTACAAAAAGTGTTTTAAATGTTGATGCTTTCAGTCTCAAAAAAAATATTTAGATTTGGAAATCTAATTTTGTTTCTGTTGATTTTATGACTGGAAACTCAAAATCATACAAACTCAATTGTCGTCGTCATCGTCTTCCTCCGCTTTTCCGGGTCCGGGTCGCGGGGGCAGCATCCCAACTAGTGAGCTCCAGACCGTCCTCTGCCCGGCCTTCTCCACCAGCTCCTCCGGCAGGACCCCAAGGCGTTCTCGGACCAGATTGGAGATGTAACCTCTCCAACGTGTCCTGGGTCGACCCGGGGGCCTCTTGCCGGCGGGACATGCCTGAAAAACCTCCCCGGGGAAGCGTCTAGGAGGCATCCTGACCAGATGCCCAAACAACTTCAGCTGGCTCCTTTCGATCCGGAGGAGCAGCGGTTCTACTCCGAGTCCCTCCCGAATGTCCGAGCTCCTCACCCTATCTCTAAGGCTGAGCCCGGCCACCCTACGGAGGAAACTCATTTCGGCCGCTTGTATCCGCGATCTCGTTCTTTCGGTCATTACCCAAAGCTCATGACCATAGGTGAGGATTGGGACGTAGATCGACCGGTAAATCGAGAGCCTGGCTTTCTGGCTTAGCTCCCTCTTCACCACGACAGATCGGCTCAGCATCCGCATTACTGCAGACGCTGAACCAATCCGCCTGTCGATCTCCCGATCGCTCTTAACCTCATTCGTGAACAAGACCCCGAGATACTTAAACTCCTCCACTTGAGGTAGGACCTCTCCCCCGACCCGGAGTTGGCAAGCCACCCTTTTTCGGTCGAGAACCATGGTCTCAGATTTGGAGGTGCTGATCCTCATCCCAGCCGCTTCACACTCGGCCACGAACCTACCCAGCAAAAGCTGAAGGTCAGAGCTGGATGAAGCTAGGAGGACCACATCATCCGCAAAAAGCAGAGACGAGATTCTCCTGCCACCAAACTCGACACACTCCACACCACAGCTGCGCCTAGAAATTCTGTCCATAAAGGTAATAACAGAACCGGTGACAAAGGGCAGCCCTGGCGGAGTCCAACCCTCACCGGGAACAGGTCCGACTTACTGCCGGCTATGCGGACCAAACTCACGCTCCTCTGGTAAAGGGACTGAATGGCCCTTAACAGAAAGCCACCCGCCCCATACTCCTGGAGTGCCCCCCACAGAGTGCCCCTGGGGACACGGTCATAAGCCTTCTCCAAATCCACAAAACAGATGTGGATTGATTGGGCAAACTCCCATGCCCCCTCCATCACCCTTGCAAGGGTATAGAGCTGGTCCACAGTTCCACGACCAGGATGAAAACCACATTGCTCCTCCTCAATCTGAGATTCAACTATCGATCGGACCCTCCTCTCTAGTACCTTGGAGTAGACCTTTCCAGGGAGGCTGAGGAGTGTGATCCCCCTATAGTTGGAACACACCCTCAGGTCACCCTTCTTAAAGATGGGGACCACCACCCCGGTCTGCCACTCCACAGGAACTGCCCCTGATGACCACGCAATGTTGCAGAGATGTGTCAACCATGACAGCCCTACAACATCCATAGCCTTGAGATACCCAGGACGAACCTCATCCGCCCCCGGGGCTCCGCCGCTGTGTAGTTGTTTGACTACCTCAGCAACTTCTGCCCCCGAGATTTGACAGTCCATCCCCAGGTCTCCCGACTCTGGTTCCTCCTCGAAATGCGCATAGGTGGGATTGAGGAGCTCCTCAAAGTATTCCTTCCACCATCCGACTATAGCCTCAGTTGACGTCAGCAGCTCCCCATCCCCACTGTAAACAGTGTGAGCGAGTTGCTTCCTTCCTCTCCTGAGGCGCCGGACAGTTTGCCAGAACCTCTTTGGAGCCGATTGATAGTCTTTCTCCATGGCCTCACCAAACTCCTCCCACGCCCGAGATTTTGCCTCGGCAACTGCCACTGCTGCACCCCGCTTGGCTATCCGGTACCTGTCTGCTGCCTCCGGAGACCCACAGACCAGCCACACCCTGTAGGCCTCCTTCTTCAGCCTGACGGCTTCCCGAACCTCTGGTGTCCACCAGCGGGTATGGGGGTTGCCACCACGACTGGCACCTGCCACCTTATGACCACAGCTAGCAACAGCCGCCTCAACAATCGCAGAGTGGAACAAGGCCCACTCGGAGTCAATGTCCCCCACTGCTCTCGGGACGCGGTCAAAGCTCTGCTGGAGGAGGGAGTTGAAGACCGTCTTAACAGGTTCTTCTCCCAGGCGTTCCCAGCAGACCCTTACTATGCGTTTGGGTCTGCCAGGTCTACGCAGCATCTTCCCCTGCCATCTGATTCAACTCACCACCAGGTGGTGATCAGTTGACAGCTCCGCTTCTCTCTTCACTCTGGTGTCCATAACATACGGCCGCAGGTCAGATGATACAACTACAAAGTCTATCATTGACCTGCGACCTAGGCTGCCCTGGTACCATGTGTACCGATGGGCATCCTTATTTTCGAACACGGTGTTCGTTATGGCCAAACTGCGGCTTGCACAGAAGTCCAATAACGAAACACCACTCGTTCAGATCAGGTGGGCCGTTCCTCCCAATCGCACCCCTCCAGGTCAAGCTGTCATTGCCCACGTGAGCATTGAAGTCCCCCAGCAGGACAATGGAGTCCCCTGATGGAGCACTATCTAGCACTCGTCCCAGGGACTCCAAAAAGGGTGGGTATTCTGAACTGATATTTGGCCCATAAGCACAAACAACAGTCAGGACCCGTTCCCCGACCCGAAGGT